ACAAGTCTCAAATTTGGAAGTGTAAGGACTGAATCTGAATTTGTTTCCTGTAACAGCTTTATTTTCACCAATCTTGCGGCCACCACTTTCAACAGTATTTCGTGCTCCAGACTTCCATGGATCGGGTGTAATGACTCGTCCAAGCTTCTTCTCACATTTTTCACAAACCATTCTGGGTCCTTCTAGTACGGCCACCTAGAAATAAACGAAGTTCGTCATCAATATATTAGCCATACATGTGTTAACCGAGAATCTTTCTTACTGCTTGAAAACCCGGGACCACACGTCATCGTATTGTAAGGCCATAATTTTTACAACACATCATCTTAATGAATAAATATTCTTAGTTGGAATAACTGTCATCACGTTTGGATTACGCCAGGTTAAGCTTTGCGTTTGGGAGGTGTCTAACCTGTCTTTCTTTACGTACAACACTGGAGCATTTTCACTATCACACCTCCACGCTATCCTATTATTACAAACTTTATAATATTTCTGGACGTACCGAGATTATACAACAACAAATTTCTTGACATCAAATTCCTTCCATTTTGTTATGACTATTCACAAGAACAAGAACCAACACTGTCCTTGTCGTTCCTTATTATCATTTCAACTCGTAAGGCTCGTAACGTATGTCAATGTGCTAGTGTTCCGTGGTATTTACAATCACAGATCAAAGAAGTGGTTACTGCATTTACGACGGGATAGAATTGATAATGTCAGTAACTGGGACAAAATGTAAGCTAACATTCCGTTGTGATATGATACCCATATAAATATAGTATGGATAATATCACATTTCTCATAAAGGATTTTCAACAATATTTATTTTATTTTTTTTTTACTTTAGTTTTTCATAGTAAATTTAGGCCGGGCGCACACCAAGGAAACTGGAAACCGCAACGCAACCGCGATTTCAGAGAAATATGGCCGATTTCACGCAGGCAACTGGTATCCAAATTAGCAGGCGCACACTGAGGAAACTTACGGTGGATTAGTTGCTCACATAATCTCAAGTGGTTGTGTTTGGCCGTCAGTTTCGTGCACTTCTCTTCTGCAATGTCAGATAATAATATTGTTCCTGTAATGATATGGTGGTGGTTGAGACGGCGTAAGAGGAGAGGACAGGAGAAAAGGAAACATTGGGTGCACTCGTTCTTTCGCGACAATTTAAACTCGGGTGTTTATATTGTTTCGAAAGAATTTAATCAGGATACAGAACTGTTCAAATTATTTTACAGAATGAGCATTGAAAGTTTTCCTTTATTAGTGGATCTTATAGGACTTCAAATTCGAAGACAGGATACAAATTTTCGTACAGCTGTGTTAGCAGAACCGTAGGCAAAATTATAGTTTTGTATATTCTAGTTTTTATGTTTTTGGACAGCAGGCGAGAAGACAAAAGGTTCTGGATTGAATATTAGCAAGCATTACCCGAGTACAGCCTCCTCTTAATTTCCTCCTGAATCACGTTTTCGTTGGTTATCGTCGTTCCCAAATATTTGAACTGTGCACATTTTCAAAACATCTGCTGTCTGTCTGTATGTCATAATTTTGCTCTACGTTTTGCTGACGAGATAGCAACATATACTTAGTTTCTCTGTGTTTTCTTCTAGACCAACCTCATTACTTGCATCAATTAAAGTGTTTGTGTTTCTCTGTATGGTATCTATATTATCACCTAGTAGATTCACATCATCGACATAGACCAACAGCTGATGTGTTCCAAATGATTTCAGTTCCACCTGGTTTTCCTGGACCTTCCTAATGGCATATTCTAAAGCAAAGTTGAAAAGGTTTGGCGATAAAGCATCTCCTTGTTTTAGACCATTCTGGATAGAAAATTCATCAGACAAATGTTTACCTATACTGACTTCACTATACATTTCATTTAAACACATTTTAATCAACCGAACTACTTTGATGGGTATCTCAAACTCTGTCAGAATATTGTACAGTACTTCCCTCTGAACTGAATCACAGGCTTTCATGAAGAGCTGATGTACTCTTATTCTATTCCCAATTTCTCCAGTTATCTGACGAATGCAAAAGAGCTGATCAGTAGTTATGTTATGTCGAAACCCGCACTGATGATCCCCAATAATTTCATCTATGTATGGACTTAACATTGAGATAAGAATATTGGACAAAATTTTGTATCAAGTTGACAGCAGTGATATCCCCCAATAATTTCTACAGTCAGTTTTATGACCCTTCTTGTGTGAAACTGGTACAATAATAGACACAATTTTTCCTTATGCCAAATAGAATTCATTAACTTGTGGATCTTAGAACGTAATATTTAGCATCCTGTGTGAATAAGTTCTACTGAAATTTGATTACTACCTGAATGTTTATACCTTTACCTATACTGTCTTTGCTTGTCTATCTTGTGAAGGAGATTCTAGTATCGTCCGTGTTTGTTCGTGGCTTGCTGGACGGAGTTGTTTTTGTCTTTGTAATTGTTAGTGTGATGGACCATAATGAAACAAATAAAAAAAGATATTTGTAAGAGTTCTGAAATTATTTTATTGCTTTTCATATATTATTAAATGCAATCTTAAACTTGTTAACAAGAGTGTATATCAGATACTCGAGTTTCATTATACTACTGAAATTAATAACCAATGGAAACCTCAGTATTATTGCTCCCTATGCATGATTTATAACACATTAATGTAAATGTAAAGCTATGTTTTGTGTAGCTTTCAAGTATAAGTTGTGAGCAAAGTTATGAAGTTGAATACAAGTATCTCTGATGGAAACAGAATTTTCTTTCAAGTTTACCCACCATCAGCTTTCCTAAACACAAGTATTCTATATATGTTATAGTCCAAATATCCATTGCATTTCAGTAAGGGGGTGTTGAATTGATGTAAATGAAATGTTCTTATTTTACAGGCACTGGTGAGAAACTTTCTCCCGATAAATAATGTTGCAACCTGATATCTTGTACTGCAGAGGTTCTTACTCCGTTGTGTTTTCTGTTTTCGAACTGAGTTCTATATCATTTAACTCATGCCCCTGGATGGCCGTAAGACTCCGCCTAATACGGAGAAGCGAAATCTGCTGGCACACTCGCGGTGGAGCGAACAGTGAGGGCGAATCAGTGAGAATAGGCAAATAGCAAGCGCGTGTGGTGAACATTAATGACGACGCCACACATTATTAAAGCTTTGAAAGGCGAAGTAACCCCATATGTCCTTAGGAATGTGTACTTTGCTAAATTCCAATCTCAAAGAAGTTATGGTTTGATATTTTGGGAGGGAGAAAGTGAAAGTAAAAAAAAATTCTGATTTTGCAAAAAAGGGTTCTTCGAATAATGAAAGGAGTAACAAAAAGAACACCATGTAGACATATGTTTAGAGAATTAAAAATTTTAACGGTAACATCTTTGTATATTTTAGAGGTGTTACGTTATTTCAAGAAATATAACATTTACACCACAAAAAAATCTCTGACCTACATAAGTATGACACAAGGAAGAAAGAAGACCTTCACTTGCAAAGTTATAATACCTTAACATATGAGAAGGGTGTTACAAATATGGCTATTAAGCTTTATAATAGACTGCGTTTGGGACTAAGAATGGTAAAAGCAGATAGAGAATTCCTACATAGACTCATCACCCAAATTACAGATTTACGATTACTGCTATCTGCAGTATCACAATTAGTACACTCCAAATGCCAGAATACAACTGACTGGCTGACTCTACGTCTCGACTCGGCGGCTGTCACAGTACAACTCTGCGGTAGCCACACTAGAACTGACTGTGAATAGCCTTCGCTGCTCCCTATGTAGCCTCGATCGGACAATACGGGAAAACGGCCACGTAATAGACACCCTTGTTGCTAGCCACGCTGTGTTGCTATGTAACGCTAGCGGAGGTCACCGTTGTTACTATCGTAACGTCGCCGCTGTTGATTCACGTTGCCTAGCGACCGCGATATCCCTCGGTGACGTCGCCGCGGAGGGGAGTGGCGGGGCGGGAACTCGCCTATTACCGTAGTAACGCGAGCGTTACGTTATCGCCACGTACCGCTGGGGCGGTAGGGGTCAACATGTCACAATATTTACTGGAACAACCATTGTATAATTTGTATGAGTTCCTCTCAGAAGGACAGTTAAACGAATAAGATTCTCCTTGATAAATAGATTTAAGTGTAAATAAAACGACTAGCAATTATGTGAAGTTTTCAATATGATTCAGCCTATAAAGGGAATGGAAGTCTTAAAAGAGATTGCACTCCAAATTATTTAATCGTTATCTAAATTGAATTTTATCTTTTGTGGATTATTTTGATATAATAGGTTTTAAGTTTAAGAATATGACGGTGGTAATTAAGATATATATATTAAGATGACCTTGTTTTTTATAATGGAAGGTAGTCGTAAATTTGATTGTACCTAATATATTTTAATTATACCGAGAGTGTGATTTTAATTGTAATTGAATGTTATGTTATATTTGATGACGTTCAATCGATTGGGCAGGAGGCCAATTAGACTGGAAAAGTTGTATATGTATGTGACTTGATCGGGCGTTACAATTTATAACTGTGATGAATGTTAAATAAAATTATTATTATTATTCTTGTAATTTGTATGTGACTTTTAATAAGTTTGTCTAGAATGTAATTCATTCTTCTGCACTGTGCTGTGTCTGTAATTGGCCTTGCGGCTGTTGACTCGGCACATTAATAATAAAGAATTGAATTGAATTGAATTACCACATTGCTTTCCTAAGTAATCTCACAAACTCGTATTATTATAACCACATTTCACAAAGATAAAAAAACACTGCTCAACACAATATATGATATGATATAGATACGAGTGATGTGAGATCTGATCGGTACAGTTCGTACAGATCATACAAATGCACAGTTGCGTAGTCACTTTTGTCTCTGCAAATAGATGGCAATAGTAGTGTGCCTAGATGATTATAGCTCATGTTCCTATTTCTCCTATTCCAGTTGCTATCAGTTGCTAACAGCAAAAATTTGTTTGATTTCATGAACGTAATCGAATTATTCGATAGTGTTCAACGAGCAACTAATTCGATATTCGAGTTAAATGGAATGTTCTGTTTTGGCGGTTTGTAGTTTATTCGGTCGTTAATATATTGAACCTGAAGTCGTAATCAAAATGTGGGATTCGAGAAGTGAGTTTATGTATAGAGAATAACACTGTTTATATCCATAGTCGTAAGAAAAATGTGGGATTCGAGAAGTGAGTTTTTATTTAGAAAATAACATTGTTTATATCCATTTTAACAGTGCAGTTTATATTTTCGTTGCACGAAGTCGAAAGCAAAGAATAGCCTTGGGCCCAGTTGCTTTTGACGTACTGACAGGGCGATACCAGATATTTGCCTCATTCCGTAAATTCTACAGCTACGGCCTGTTGTTCATCATTAATGCAATGTTTACAGGTTACGGCAATGATCAAGGTGGATTTTTCAACTCTCCATCCCAATTTGCTTCTCCATCAGAAAAGCAAGACAAGGTATGACTGATACACTGTTCTGAAATGTAAACATTAATGTTCATTTAAATTCTGGTGGTAAGAAAGACCGGGCACTTGGTTCACAGTCTCCCAAATGAATCCTAGACAGGCCATGAAACTTGCAATAGATGTCTCATTTGTCAGAGCGTACATTAAGATATATGCCCCCATTGCACAGTCATTTTATTAGGTACACTAGAATCAGTCTCAAGTCTTCTCCAAATTCAGCAGTGGATTCCTTTGCTTTGTTGAGTGGATCTCCTTATTCATGATAGTAGCTATGTACAAGTATTAATATATGAGCTTCTGTTTTGCATATTTAACACATAAGATAGGTATAGGTCATGTAACATAGTTTGCAGATTTAATGTTCATGTTAAAATAATTATCTTAGGAAATCAAATGGTTTCTGATAATTATCTGCAGTATTTGACAATTTACAGTTCTTTATCACACTTTTACTATTATATTTCTGTATACATCATGAATAAAATGAAGTATTGTTCTCTGTTTAGCAGAATGCAATATTGTATCACTCTTATGTAAGCAATTTACTGAATTCCTCCAAAGTTGTATGGATGAATTGTAGGTTATTTAAAGACACCCTGTTAACCCTAGTTTTTATTTAGTATGGAATAAAATGAGAAGATGGTCATGTTCATTGAAAATGAAATGATTTGGTGGAAGCTATCATGGCCTATTTCGAAACATTCATGAATTATTTGGAGTCACTGACAAAAACAATGAATGGTTTCAGTCAGAATAGTCATTGTCGCTCCCAAGATTGAACTAGGCACCTCCTGGATACAATATGAAAGCATTACTGCTTGAGCCAACATGGTTGGTTCCAAAGTTGTTGAATAATTTGGTATTGATGAACTTCACTATCAAGGATGTAATGAACCCTTATTATCATTTTATTGTTATCATACACTGTTCTGTTCTATGCTGTTCTACACATCTCTAGGTATACAAGCCAAGTTAAAACCAATTTTTTATTTTTTCCATATGTGAGCATACTTTTGTGCATTTACTAACAGGCTGTTTTATTTACTTACATTTACTTATTGCTTTAATATAATATAATAATATGGTTTGGCTGCATGAAAGTATGGATTGTTTTGATTGATCTTTTTTAGCCAGCACGGCGAGTGCAAAATATTGTTCCAGTTACAGTCCGTCAAATCTTGGAGAGCCGTGAAGATGGTCTTAAAATTGGGAGTATGGATGTACATATGGTGAGAAAATCTACCAAGAATGAAATGATATTTGTGTAACTTTAAATGTCTCACTCACAATGTAGATGAGATAAAGTAGGTAATACACATTGTGTGTTCTTTAAGAAATGTGCTGGTCATGTGGGTGATATGTTTCCATTACATACTTAGTAATGCATGACATTGCGAAGATGTTGCTCCATAGAATTAATCTTAAGAATTCAAGATGAAGCTTGGGTGTAGGACAGCATTTTGAATTAATACTTCAAGATGTCAGGAGTGAGTAGACAGGTCATCCATGCAAGCTGTTATGTGCCTCCTTCCTATAATGATTTTCGTTTCATGCTTGTGCTGGGGTTCTGAGAGGATGTGTATGCTGGGTAGATCATCTGACATATACAAAAATTAAGTGTTTTGCTGATTTATTGTTATGGACAGAAAATAAGCCTCATTGGCTTGCTCTGACTCACTATTAGTAAGGATGATGTGTGTTTAAATATTTTATAATGTTATGACAAAATGTTTGCAATGGCAGCCTGAAATGGGGTTTATAAAATTATTGACTTTTACACATTGTTTTTAAATTGTGTATTTTTGTATAGGAAGAGAATTGCTGAGGTATGGGCGTTTCTTCTGCAAGATTGAAAATCATATTGTAACGTGTCTTGAGATCGAATCTCGTCGGTCACGTGTGTAAGTTCTAATCCCACTTCTGACACCAATGTAACGTGTCTTGAAAGCACACAATAAGTCTTCCGCTCGCTGACTTCTTAGTTATCGCACACTCACAGGCTGCTATGTTTCAACTCTCTTCGGCGATGGCCACGTTATAACTCGGCGGCTGTCACAGTACAACTGACTGGTACCTGCTGTGCAGCTCACTTATATAGCTGCAGTGCTTGCCGGTTGCGTAATGAGTGCCACGTCACAGTAGGAAGTTGATTACGGGTACGTAGCGTTGCGCGTTACGTCACCGCGGAGGGGTAGTGGCGGGGCGGGAACTCGCCTATTACCGTAGTGACGCGAGCGTTACGTTAGCGCCACGTACCGCTGGGGAGGTAGGGGTGATCCATAGCTCAACATGTCACAGTATTTTAACTCAGGGTTGGTAGTATTAAATTAAGAAAATGCATTATTTAGCCAATAGGACCCTCCGTGTTTGGTGATGCTGTAGAGTGGCGTATGACTGATAAAGGCTAATTGGAATCTGAGTAACCTTGTTTATTGAAAGCTGGTCTTCACCTAAAGGCACTAATGGCAGTATGAATAGCAAGGTTGTGCTTTTCAGCAGGTTAGTGAGACAGCTGAATGAGTGAATAGTCCTTTGCAATCTGGAGCCACTGCTCCTTACTTACTTACTTACTTACTTACTTATTCACTCACTCACTCACTCACTCATGGAGCTGAGCCCTTCTGGAGGAGCCACCAATTCTGCAGCTACTCAAGAATTTCCCAGCATTTTATGGAACACAGTGGTTCATTACTGTGTTCACAAGAGCTCTCCACTAGTCCCTATCCTGAGCCAGATCAATCAAATCCATACCATCCTTTCTCTCTAAGATACATTTTAATATTGTCCACCCACCTACGCCTTGGTCTTCCCAGTGGTCCCATCAATATCCTCTATGCATTCCTCATCTCCCCCATTCCTGCTACATGCCCTGCCCACCTCATCCTCCTTGAATTGATCTTTCTAATTATGCTTGAAGAAGAGTACAAGTTATGAAGCTCGTCATTGTGCAGTTTTCTCCAACCTCCTGTCACTTCATCTCTCTTTGGTCCAAATATTCTCCTCAGCACCCTCAGTTTATGTTCCTCAATGTCAGAGACCAAGTTTCACACCCATACAGAACCAGAGGCAAAATTATAGTTTTGTATATTCTAATTTTTATGTTTTTGGACAGCAGATGAGATGACAAAAGATTCTGGACTGAATGGTAGCAAGCATTACCTGAGTTCAGTCTCCTCTTAATTTCCTCCTGAATCAGGTTTTGATCTGTTACCGTTGTTCCCAAGTATCTGAACTGTGCCAGATCTTCAAAACATCTGTTTCCTATCTTTATGTCATGATTTTGCCCCACATTTTGGTGACGAGACAGTAACGTATGCTTAGTTTTCTCTGTGTTTACTTCTAGACCAACCTCTTTACTTGCATCAAAGTCTATGTGTTTTTCTTTATGCTATCTACATTGTCGCCCAGTAAATTCACATCGGCATAGGCCAACAGCTGATGTGTCCCATTTAATTTTAGTCCCACCTGGTTTCCCTGGACCTTCCTAATGGCATATTCTAAAGCAAAGTTGAAAAGGAGTAGTGATAAAGCAGCTCCTTGTTTTAGACTATTCTGGATGGGAAATTTATCAGACAAATGTTTACCTACATGGACTTTACTATACATTTTGTTTAAACACATTTATTAACCTAACTAGTTTCATGGGTATCCCAAACTTTTATCAGAATATTGTACAATACTTCCCTCCTAACTGATTTATAGGCTTTCTTGAAGTCTGTGAATAGCTGATGTACTGTCTCATTGTGCTCCCATTTTTTCTCCAATATCTGACAAATGCAAAAGATCTTATCTGTAGTTGATCTGTTATGTTGAAACCCACACTGATGATCCAAAATAATTTCATCTATATATGGACTTCACCCTGAGAGAATATTGAATAAATTTTGTATGAAGTTGATAACAGTGATATCCCCCGATTATTACTACAGTCAGTTTTATCACCCTTGTTGTGAACTGGTACAATAATAGACTCCTTCGACTGATCAGGAAAGTTTTCCTTATGCCAAATAGAAATAATTAGATTGTGGATCTTAGAACATAATATTTCGCCTCCTGCTTGAATAGTTAGTTAGTTAGTTAGTTAGTTAGTTAGTTAGTTAGTTATTGGAGCGGGTGGGTTTCCCCATGCACTGAGACCTGTACTGGTCCATTGTGCTTCCCTCTATGATTTCTTCCAGTCTCTATATCCTACCGGTACTGGTGCTTACCATCAGTCCCGCCCAGCCAGCGAGACCGGTTCTACTAGCTGAGAGGTATCTATAATGCTTCCCCCATCTACCAGAGGTATTAGAGACTGCTGTTGGGCGGGAAACGTCCGTTAATTTGGCTCAGTGACCTCCTTTGGAGATATGAGGTTCTTTTATGAGCCGTAAAGCTACGACACGGGACCCACGGCTTAAAGTCCCTCCCGGAGGACTTGTTCCCTGAATTTTTCCGCCCTTAAAAATTCGACGACCTCCGCCGGGTATTTGAACTCGCGTACTACAAGTCATGAGGTGGGAACGTTACCTCTAGACTACGGAGGCCGTTTCCTGCTTGAATAAGTTCTGTTGGAATTTGATCACTACCTGGTGATTTATACCGTTTCAATTTTGCAATAGCACTTTCAAACTCAAAAAGGCCTAGGATCAGGTACTAACGGCTCAGCTGTATGGATTTCTGTCTGCCTAACATCACTGACCCTATGTACATTCAATAACTGAGAGAACTAGTTCCTCCACCTATTCAAAATGTTGTGGGAATCTGCAAGCAGATCACCATTCTCATCCTTCACTAAGTTACTGCTAGGCTGGTAACCTCTCTTTTGCCCCTCTATACAGGTCTCTAATGTTCTTGTTCTTACTGTTCATTGCAAGCTCATCAATTTTGTCTTTCAGATATTCCCGCTTTTTGTTCCTGAAATGCCTGCTGGTTTCACATCTTATATTGTTCAGAATATCCCCATTTAACTTGCTTGGATCCTGTAACCATTGCAATTTGGCTTGCTTTCTTTGGTCTAATAATTTTGAGCATCCTTCATTGAACCATGGCTTATGCTTCTTCAGTTCATAATAACCTAGACTCTCTTTGGCAGACATTTTTATATTCTCTCTAATAGTTTCCCAAGCTTTATTAACATCCACCTCAGTTTCCAAGTTTTCCAAAGCCATGAACCTATTTGAGATTTCAACACAATACTGCTCTTTACCCTCTATCTCGTTTAATTTCTTGAGATTGAACCTCTCCATATGGACTCTGTGTGTTGTTTGTTTGCTCACTGCCAGTCTTTCCCTAACCTTTGCCACCACCAGGTAGTGGTCAGTATCACAGTCTGCTGCCCTCAATGATTGGACATCAGGTATACTTGAGTGCCATCTCCGATCTATCAAAATATTGGCTATTTGATTGTGTATCTTCAAATCAGGAGATGTCCAAGTAAATTTATGGATGTTTTGACGTGGGAACATTGTACTTCTGACAGTAAGATTTTTTGATGTGGCAAAGTTTACTACTCTGACTGCTTCTATACATCACTATATATTTGTGTAATCTCCTGCGGTATTATACGTAGGCGAGTCAAATGAAAACCTTAAATATTTTTTTGCGTATTTATTGTGCACAAGTGGTACAAAACTGTATCACTTTTCAACATAATCTCCCCCACGCTCAATGCAAGTCCTCCAGCGCTTACAAAGTGCATGAATTCCTTTAGAAAAAAATTATTTTGGTAGTCCGCGGAACCACTCATGCACCACATGGCGTACCTCTTCATCAGAATGGAACGTCTTTCCTCCCATTGCTTCTTTGAGTGGTCCAAACATGGAAATCACTTGGGGCAAGGTCTGGTGAGTATGCCGGTTGCAGAAGACACTCAAAATGCAGGTCATTGATTGTTGCAACTGTTACAACAGTTGTCGCGTGTTTACGTTACTGATCCCACTTCTGACACCAGTTGTCGCGATATACGCCCGATATCGCGACAACTGGTGTCAGAAGTGGGATCAGTAACGTAAACACGCGACAACTGTTGTACAGGCAGTATGGGGCCTTGCATTGTCATGTTGCTAAAGGATACCTGTGGACAGCAATGCATGTTGCTTTGATTTGATTGCAGGCCGAAGATGATTTTTTAGGAGATCTGAGTATGATGCACTGGAGACAGTGGTCCCTCTAGGCGTGTAGTGCTCCAAGAGGACGCTTTTTTTGTCCCAAAAGAGAGTCAGCATAACCTTCCCTGCTGATGGCTGTGTTCGAAACTTCTTCAGTTTTGGAGATGAGGAATGGTGCCATTCCTTGCTTGCTCTCTTCGTTTCCAGTTGGTGGAAGTGAACCCAGGTTTTGTCCCCAGTAACGATTCTTGCAAGGAAGTCATCACCTTCTCGTTCAAAGCGCTGCAGAAGTTCTTCACAAGCATCAATACATCAGTCTTTCAATTCAGGAGTCAGCTGCCATGGCACCCATCTTGCAGACATTTTGTGAAACTGGAGCACATCGTGCACAATGTGGTGTGCTCAACCATGACTAATGTTTACACTTGCTGCATTTTCATTCAGTGTCACTCGACGGTTTTCCCTCTCTATGGCTTCAACTGCTGCAGTGTTCTCTGGAGTCACAACTTGATGTGCCTGACCCGGACGAGGAGCATCTTCCACTGAAGTCACACCATTTGCAAACTTCCTACTCCATTCGTACACTTGCTGCTGTGACAAACATGCATCACCATACTGAAACTTCATTCTTCGATAAATTTCAATAGGTTTCACACCTTCACTACACAAAAACCGAATAACAGAACGCTGTTCTTCCCTGGTGCAAGTCTCAAGTGGGGCAGCCATCTTATACTGGTGCTGTGACGGTGTTCGTGCATCTGCACTATGCTGCAACCTACAGGACATTCTGCATGCTGTTTGTAGCATGCTTCCCAACTTACAGGATAATGGCGTGAAATTTTGGTTTTTTATTACAAATTTAAGGTTTTCATTTGACTCACCCTAAATTTCAGTAATTAATCGTTGGTTGTATGGGTGAGATTTGTCTTATAGTTTATGCTGTATCTTGGGGTAACATTTTATATTATTGTAACCTGTAGACCCATTGCTAGGCAATGCTAGGCAAGCAGGGCCCGTTAGCTGTTGCAGTTAGTGAAGAATCAGTCAGTGAGTTAGAGGACTGCTGCAGTTCAGACGTGAGCTATTGCTGTGAGCTGAGGCCGGGGACAGTGGTATCAGAAGTGGGATAATTGGATTAATCGACTAAATGGGCGTATTGGATAGTAATGTAGTATACTACAAAAATGGAGCAAATGATGGGAAGCCTGCAGCACAGATGAATGCTATGCAAGAAAAGATGGAACTTTACCAGGAAAAGATAATTGTGAAGATGGATGCCAATCAAACAAAGATGAATGTCTGTCTAGAAGAAATGAAGGCCTGGCAAAAAGAGACAGTGGCCATCCAAGAAGCGATGGAGGCCAGTCTAGAAAAGGCAAAGGCCAACCCAGAGAAGAATGGAGGCTGGGTTGGAAGAAATGGAGGCTGCGGTGAATGTCTTTGAACAAAGGTTGGACAAAATGAATACCATGGCTTTGGTGACCAGTTGAGAAAAGTTGGAGGCTGTCGTGGTGCATCAAGAAGTCCCTAATGAAGAGGCCGCAGTAGAGATGATCAGAGCTCTGAAGGACCAATCTAGGGAGTGGCGTTAGGTGCCATGGATGTTTGACCCACTGTGCTGTTCCTGCGCTGTGTGAAAGCCGCAATCATAGAGGACTGACTGTCGAGAAGAGACGATGGAATGGATCAAAATGTAACAATGGCATAACGGAAAGATGCCTGAAACAGCAGCTATGTCTAGGAAGTGTGAGGGCATTCAGCAAGACTGTCAGGCATGCTCTTGGACTGGAGGTCATGAAGCAACCATTTGGGTCCTTGATTGGGCTATGGGAAGTGAGTGAGTGGACACTTTGGAGGGGTTGGCCCCCTCAGAAATGAAAGAAGAGACGTCCAAAGTACAGCCCTCAGAAAATAACAAAAACGATTGTGTTACACCTGGACCAGCATGAGCAATTGGAGAGTAATCACCTTGAGAAATGAGTCATGAGGAAGGAAGGCAAGGATGATCACTGTATGGGACAAATAGTTTTAAGGAGGGAGCAACGTAGTGTGTAGACCCATTACTGGGTAACAGTCTCAAAACAAACAGTGAAACAACATTTCCTGCTAGGAAACAGATTTGTAGTAAGCAAGTATATGCAGCCATTAGTGGGTAATACCTTTGCAAAGAAACACTTTTCCATCGAAACGATAGGAGTACAACAATGAACAGTGTTTTTTATGTGTTCTGAGCCAAGATGTTATAACTGTAACAAGTTTAGAAGTTAGTTGTAAGGGAGTCTGAAGAGAAGACTTGGTCAGTGCAGTTGAAGAATCCCCACTATTACAAGCTGTTACCAGGGAATGACTGGTGAAGACACAGCAGACTGAAAAGACTTAATATGTGCTATAGTGATTTGTGATGTGTAGTATGTAGTCATGTAGTCATGAGACATGCATTGAAGTGTGCAATAAATCCAGCCTTCAATCCAATACCCCATCTATAGTCACTCATAATATGTGAAAGTATTTTGTTGCAGTGAGATGTCTCAGTTTTAGTGAGCTTGCAGATAAACCAAACTTTTTGTAGTATGGAGCAGTAAGTTGAATTAGTGGTCTAAACAATATTTTTTAGGGTGAATAGCAGATAATACTGATATTAAGAACCCAGCAGACCATAATCTTTATAGTCACTGCTGGGAAAACCTCAAATTTCAATGCTTATAATTGTAATTTCAGTTTACTCTTGTTGCCTTGGTACGTCATGTTGAAGTTTCTTCAACTAAGGTAACTTACCTGTTGGATGATGGTACAGGCGGCATCACTGGAGTTTTCTGGCTTGAATCTACAGATAGGGTAAATTCTGTGTATTAATAACTTATACTGTGCTTGGGTGTGAAATATATCAAAAGTAACCATGCTTGTTTTTACATCCTATATTACAGGAAGAGCAGCAAGTAATTCCATCTGTAGTTGAGAACATGTACTGTCGTGTGTATGCATCTCTCAGAACCAGTCAAGGGAAGAAACATATTTTTGTGTTTAGAATTATGAATCTAGATAACCTGAATGATCTAACAAGACACATCTTGGAGGTGATGTACAGCAGTTTAAAAATTCAGAAAATAAAAACTTCAGAGATCACTATGGTGAGTCGAAGATAATCTTAGACAAGCTTGATGTTTGTTTTATATAGGTAGATGGTAGCTACATACAGATATGAAAATATTATCAAATCACATTGGTCCATAGAGGCTACCACTTTACACATAGATCCAAATAAAAAACTGAGTAGCAAGTCAAATCATCATATTGTAATTAAATAAAATACAAGTTTTTTCAGAACCCTAATGATGCTAACCCAGAAATCAAATTGAGGAAAATGTGAATATTTGTAATGACAGCTCCTGAATAGGTGCAGAATGGAATCAGTGTGACACGCTGCAGATTGGTCTTCTGGAATGTGATGCCATGTAGTTTGATGCCCAACTACATGGTACACACTGTGTAAAATCCCACAAGACTATATGCTTGATACCACCATGAGAACCTCAAATATCTCATTGTAACACAATCATTTTGAGCCGCTGTTGACACATTTCATTTCAGAATTCACATGCAAACAGCAATATTAGCTTGGCCAGTTCTTTCATGGCAACTTCAGCCTCTAATCAACCAAGTGGTTTCAGCCCACAGCAGAATCTTGTCTACAGCACAATATCGGTAAGAATTTTTGTAAAAGGAAATAATCACCAGTCTGTGCATATTAATTTGAGGGGATTGCCTCTCAAATTGTTTGCATATCCTAAGAAACATAACATAACATAACATAAAATTTTACATCACTTAATATTGTAGTTTGTTTAAAACTTGTTAACTTGACAATTGCAACATAGTTTTGTGGTTTTATTCATACTTATAATGTATGTGTTTTATGTGGCTGGCAGAATGTCAGATTAGACACCTGATTCTTTGTCTGCAGGATATTTGCAGCAATCTTTGAATGAGTAACTGAATGTAGTTGTGAATTTTACTGTTTATTGTATGTTAAAACTGACTCAGGACTGATTTCCACCTTCGTTACTGTACTTAATTAAATTTAACAACCACAATATTTGTTCTGTTCTACATTCCTTCCTTTTAATATTGTGATGAATTGCTGAATATTAAATCTGATAAATACTATTTTCCAAACTGTTTTTGAAACAGAAATGTGGCAGGGACATTGGAGCACACAGGGATGAGGTTATTAAGGCATTGGAAGGGAAGATGTCTGCAAGAGAAGTGATGTAAGTATGATATGAAAATCACCATATTTTGCTTAGGCAAAGTATCTCTGTAAATAGACGTGGTGAGGTAAATGTTTTGAATGTTCAGCCTTTTCACTGCTCATCACAAGCATGCAGCATTATAGAATCGAGTTTCCAGCACAAATAATGAAAGGGTTAGAATAGTACTGTAACTGCAACCAAATAAGCATACGAGGGGGGACCCAAAAATAACCAGAAACGACCTGTTGCGCGCGCATGCTTTGTAGTTACGAGTTGTGCTGCTAGGTGGTGTTAGCTGGGGGTTTCCCGCGACTGTTAGTGAGCTGGCGTCAGTCTGAGTTAAGTGGTTTGTCTGTGGTGCTCTGTTATGTGCGTTCCTGTTTCAACCCTTTGGCGATTAGTGAGATGGTGGAACAGAAGGAACAGAGAGTGTGCGTGAAATTGATGAAGATCATCGAAAGACCATTGACCAACTTTCTGAGGAAACGAACATCTCATGGAACACGGTCCAGCGAATTTTAACCGAAGGTTTGCACATGAGACGGGTGTCTGCAAAATTTGTTCCTCACTTGCTCGGAGATGACCAAAGAGAAAACCGCGTGAATGTTTGCCGCGACTTGAAGAGTGAAGTGCAGTTTTCCCTAACAGAAAGCAAAATTTCACGCACACTCTTTGTTCCTTCTGGTCAGCCATCTCACTAATCGCCAAAGGGTTGAAACAGGAACGCACACAACAGAGCACCACAGACAAACCACTTAACTCAGACTGACGCCAGCTCACTAACAGTCGCAGGAGACCCCCAGGTAAGACGACCTAGCAGCACAACTCGTAACTACAAAGCATGCGCGCGCAACAGGTCGTTTCCGGTTATTTTTGGGTCCCCCTTCGTAAACTAAATAATCTTCTGTATCATATGTAATTTTGAAATGAAACTATATATAGAATACTATAGTAAAGTTAACTTCAAGGTTATTGTCCTAATACTAATACCTAATACCTACAGGAATGTTGTGGACTTCCTAAGCAATGAAGGTCATATCTACACTACCATTGATGATGATCACTTCCGCTGCACAGATAACTAGATGGGTTTAAAATGAGGAAAGGATGGCATACATCTGTATAAAACAGTTATTATACATCAACTTTATTTTTACCAGAATGTTAGCAGCAGATAACTGTGTGAAATACATACAAGCTAGAAAATCTTGAAGTTGTGAATATGAGTGCGGGCAACAACATTGAACATGCCATGCAAAGATGTGGCCATACAACATTATAAAATGTCATTCTAATGTGTTATATGAGATGACAAGTTCAGGCATATACAAGGTAAAGACATTCAGATAATAGAATAATAAAATAACTGACCCCCATCACTGACATATGCTTGATTTTGTTTATCAGTTAACTACAATATTGAAATATTGAATGAAATATCAACATCACATAACAAGGAAGAACAAGTCAGTTCTTGAAGGCTCTCATTACCTGGTCGGTGGTTTGCTTTTCCTGAAATCTGTTCACATATTCTCCTCCTCTTTGCAGAATTCATTTAATAATTATAAGTAAATGGACTTACCAGTGCATTTCCACAAATTTTTAAAAGGTAAAGTTGTCCCTGTGCTTAACTAATTAAGCACTACGCCATGAAGGCATAAGTGGGAGTGGATGTATAGATCCACATTTTCTTGAATGCGGCACTAGATGGAGGTGAATTCCACAGATTTGTAGCAAAACATAATTACTTAAGTATATGTGTAACATAGGTACTTGGAAAATCATTCGGGATGACTGGAAAAATTGTTTTATGTATGAGGTGTGAGGCTTTCACAGCAGTTAAGATGTATGTTATGGTCTTCTGGTAATAACACCGCATAGTCTGGTAGGTGGTTTCCAACATTTTGGAGTGATAAATTGCCTCCCTGCCCTGAAGATGGAGGCGTTACATATCTTTGAAGACTACAATATGAATTATAAAATCCAGTATTTGAAGAAAGTTACCTTTTATGATGTGAAGTCATGTACTATGGTAGAAGTTCACAAATATTTTGGAGGAATGTATTGCCTTCATCTTTGGAGCTGAAGAGTAAGCCTATCAAGCAGAGTACTATTTAATTTGCTCGATCTTCATAACCACCGCCATGGGAACCCCAGCTGCCTGCAAGTAACAGCACACACTGTGCCAGTGATTTTGACAACTGTACGGTAACCCTATACTGAATTTTATTCATTCTGGTTTATTTTAAGACATTCCCTAAGGGTCTAAGTTAATTTTCATATGTAAATCCCACGAGCCCTTTGCCAGACTTTGATTAAACTTCATAAGTAGCACTTCTATTATACATTTCTTTCACCTTAATTCATTTTTAAGAATTGCCACTTAATATTCACCTGAGTGAGAAATACCTGCAATAAAAGCTGTAATGTATAGAATACGTATTACCTACTACACAGTATATGAAAAAGGATCACTGATTTTGAGAAAGTCACTACAATTACAATATCAGTGCTGTTGAAAGTGTTATATAAACTGCAGACATGCTACAACTTCTCCGATCTCTGTTCAGTTTATGGCACATTGCATGTATCTCAACATAAAAACGTGGCATATGCAAATAAAACATTGCACATATCAGTTCTTTTTTTAACCTATATTACCATGCACACTCGGTTACTTTGCAGAATAACACCCACACAGCTGTCCAAAAAAAATTATTCACTGTTGATATTATAAAGGGATATTACAAATACTGAGTAAACTAAATGAGATACAAAAACCATTACATTGTCGGAAGCTGTATTATTTTTATCAACGTATGAATGTATGAAGTTCTGGAAGTCACCACATGAAGCATGGGAACCAAGTGGGAGAGGCCCAGTGTCTGATGATGTCTGAGTGGTGTATGTTTATGAAGAGGTTTCATGCCAATCTACTGGAAAGAAATCAGATTTATATGTGACATAATCAGTTTTCAGAAACAGGATGTTAGTTGAGAGGCAACTGTCACAGTAGGCTGAGGTTATGTAAAGAACCAGTTGAGCATGTTCACACTGCATATGTACACAGCCAAAGAAAGTCAACAGCCAGGGACAACTGAGAATTAGATGTCCCAGAGCCTACAGGTTGGAACATTTTGCAGATACAATTAGCTATAAAGCCTTATATGTTGCAGAAGGTTCAAATAATAACCAAAGATAAAGCATCAAGGTTTACATTTTGTGGATGATTTCAGAACTTGACTGAAGAAGGTGCAGCTCTGTTATCCCATGTTGTGTTTAATGATGAAGCCATATTTCACTTGTCAGTCATGATCTGTTGATTCAAAACTTGAAAATGTATAGAGTCAAAGGGCCTGTTTTGAAATGGTTGGAGACTTATTTAAAAAATAGAATGCAAAGACTTGTGCTGCATACTTGTAATTCGACTGCTACAGTCTCTGAATGGAAATCTGTAAGTTTTGGTGTTCCGCAGGGATCTGTCCTGGGACCAATGTTTAATGTTTATATTAATGATTTCCCAGGAACTCTTTAAGGATGTAGCACATACTGTTTTGTACGCTGATGACAGAACAATTTTAATTACCTCAAATGACCTAAACTCTTTGAAAATTAAATAGTTATGGCTAGGGTTTCAAGCTGGTTTGAAAATAACAATCTGGTACTTAATTTGAGTAAAACTCACCTGATTAAATTTGTGATTCCTAAGTCTCCAGAGTATACATCATCGGTAACATATAATAATTTTAGACTTAAAGATGTTGATAATGTTAATTTTTTAGGTATGTATTTAGATTGTCAACTTAATTGGAAAAAACAATCTGAAAAATTATTAAAGAAACTGAATACAGCGGGTTTTATGCTCAGGAAGTTACAGTCCCTTGTCAGTGAATAAGCTCTTTGAATGGTCTATTTTTCTTATTATCAGTCTCAGCGTGAATATAGTATTATATTCTGGGGTTCTTCTCCAGTTATGAAAAGTTTATTTGTTGCCCAAAAAAGAGCGATTAGGGTTATGCTGGGTTTGAGTCCTGGAAACTCGTGTAGAGAAGGTTTTAAGATGTTTGGTATTTTGATGGTTCCTATCTATTCTATATTGATGTTTGTTGTTATAAATCACAATTTTTTTCAAACCAACAATAATATTCATCATATAAACACTAGACAGTTTGGAAAGCTACATGCATCATCAGTGAGATTATCTTCAATCCAGAGAGGCATGTTATATTCATCCATTATGGTTTATAATAATCTTCCTCAAAATATATGAAGGATGAGTGATAATGTGAAAATTTTTCAATGCACACTGAAAAGTTTCCTCACAACAAATGCTTTTTATTCATATATTTCTGCTAAGCATGTATAAAATTTAATAACTATATTCCTTGTAATTTTATTTATGAATGACAATGTAAATTATGGTTATTTGGTGCTTTTGGTTGTGTGTGGTTGTTTGCTGTTGACACGATTGTACTTTTGTACACGAGTTCAATATCCGGTCCAATTTGGACAATGGATCAGTGAATTTATGAACTATGTATGTATGTATGCATGCATGCATGCTAACTGTTATGTTGTGAGGATATCTTTGCATCACAGTCAAACATGACACAATCTGTAAGTGACTGTTTTCTGTGGTCTGTCCAACAAGATTTACGGTTCATTTCTCTTTGTTGAAACTGTAACCACAATCTTTTACCTGGATGTGCTCTAGAAATGATCTATGCCTCAGCTAAACGATTTCAGAGAATATTTATCAAGATGGGACATCACTCTACTATCATAGTGCATTAACAAGATTCCTAAATGAGAACCTTCCAAAATGACGGATTGATGGTGGAGGTCCAAAGGCATGGCCTGCCAGATCACCCAATCAGATAAACTACACAGCTACATTAAAGATCAAGTTTTGCGAAACAATCTTCAGGAAGAAAGCAGTCTTCTGGGATTTGACATCGTGTATATGTGGTGTTAACCGACGTTTCGGAGGAATGTATCGCCTCCATCTTCAGGGTAGAAGAAAAAATATAAGAATTCTGCAAGCGGAGAGACTGTGAGAACCGGTTCTCAGTTCTCACGGTCTCTCTGCTTGCAGAATTCTTATATTTTTTCTTCTACCCTGAAGATGGAGGCGATACGTTCCTCCGAAACGTCGGTTAACACCACATATACACGATGCCAAATCCCAGAAGACTGCTTTCTTCATAGTCACCGCCGTGAAAGCCTCAAATCTTACACAATCTTCAGGAACTCAAAGACAGGATTCATCTAGCTGTCTTGTCCACTGATACCTTACACAAAGCATAGGACTAGTTCACATATTGTTTGATGTGGTAAGGATAGAGTCCACATTGAACATTTACAGGTTACTGCTTCAAACAGTATAACATTGATTTCTGTGTCTTGTTCAGTTTGTCTCAAGTACACACTTAGGTACAGAAACAAAAAGATTATAGAAGATACTCCCTTCATCCTCCACAGTCTCACTTTATGCGATTCTATTTAAAAAAACATACCATGTTACCTGTAATAACTGTGATGGGAGTGATGCATAGACTATTCAAAGATGGGCAAGCTCCCACCATTTTTTAAAGTAAATAATTATAGGCACAATTTATTCATATTGAAATGAAATGCGCATTTTATAGATTAAAAAAAGGATGTACTGTACTGCAGAAGACTGCTGAAATAATGCCAAGTATACTCTGATACTTAGCAGACTTCAGACACATTGATTCTTATGGGGCTATTGTGTTTGATTTCTGTGATTTCATCCTCTGTAACTACTTTTGGAATTCAGTTCTCACATAAATTGGAGTACCTGTAGGCTAAAAATGAGATGACATTTGCAACATCAAAAGAAACATTCATGGTAATTTATGAACCAGCAGTTTTATCGATGGAAAGCTGTACAGTTAATGGAGTACTGATACTTGACAGGGGGCAGGAAGACCATTTGGTTAGCCAAGACATTCTTGGTTGGGTCAAGGACAGAGGCTTTATTGTTACAAGCAAGAGACTGGAATCAACTCACGTGGAATGGACAAGTGGGCAGTTTTATTCGTGGTGGTTGGGAACTGTGGCTAGCACCACAAAAACAAAGCCAAAAGCAATCATAGTATACAAAGTAATAAGAAAACTAAAAATCAACCAAGAATCCACTGGTACAAGTGCTGTATGCATACGATGGGGTACCCAAAAGAAACCGAACTAATTTTTTTGTGGGCAGAGCTTTTGTAGTACCGCATTTTGCCGCTATGAACGCATAGAGCTAACATTCGTGAGTCGATAAGCCGACTACAGTTGCTTCAGAAGGTAAGGACTAGTTTCGGCAGAGTTTATAGTGACAACTGTTTTGTGTAATCGTCATTTTTGCAATGGCTGATTTTTGTGAACAGCGTGTGGCGGTGAAATTCTTGCTTTTTGCTCGGGAAAAGCGGAACAGAAACTCTTGAAATGTTAAAAAAGGCGTACAAGGATGATGCTATGGGGGAAAACTCAAGTGTTTGAGCGGTTTTCCCATTTCACAAATGGTGAAATGTCAATTGATGACAAACCTCGTTCTGGTCGTCCTTCCACGGCCCGAACACATGAAAATGTTGAAAAAATTCGTGAAATCATCAAGGAAGATCGACGACGGACCATTGAAGAAGTTGTGGAGCTGTTGGGAGTGACTTGGAGCTCAGTGGCCAGATTTGTGGCAGTCGGGTGACTGGTTTTTCCATCAAGACAATGCCCCTGCTCACACAGTCCTGTCTGTACGACAATTCTTGACCAAAATGGTATGACCCCTGTTCCTCACCCTCCATACTCACCTGACCTTGCCCTGTGCGACTTTTTTTTTGTTTCCTCGAATGAAAAGAGACATGAAAGGAAAAAACAACGGAGGCACTGTCAAGCATCTCAAAAGATGAATTTAGACAATGTTTTGAAAAATGGAATAAAAGACTAGACAAGTGTATTAGTGTAAGTGGAGAGTACTTTGAAGGGGATTGAAGGTTTGTGCTTAAAATTTGAATAAATAAGTTTAAAAAAAATAAGTTCAGTTTCTTTTGGGTACCCTCTCGTACATACAGAACAGTGACAAGGTGGGTAAAAGCCTTCAACGAGAGATGCCAAAATGTGGCAGACGTGTCAGCCAGGTCTGTCCTAGTGTCAGTGAAGAAGTGTATGCTCTTTCCACGTTACTGGAGAGAGATCGATGCCATACGATATGTGAGCTGGCCCGAGAGACAGGATTAGCACACATGACTGTGCTTCACATTGTGAAGGAACACCTGGGAATGAGAAAAACTGCATCACGATGGGTTCCGCATGATCTGACAGAAATGCAGAAATGGCTACAATATGACCCTGCTCGTAACCAATTTGAGTGCTATGAGCACAAAGGAGAGGCTTTCTTACGCCGTATCATTATGCTGGATGAGACATGGGCCAAATTGTACAAGCCACAAATAAAACGCCAATAGAATGAATGGTGTCACTATGGGTCACCACGAAAATCAAAAGTTTGTCAGAACCCCAGCAATGTGAAAGTTATGGTGATTCTTGTGTATGACTGTGATGGTGGTATCCTAACGCATACTGTTCCCTGACAGCAGACCATCAATGTGCAGTATTACTGTTCATTTTTGGAACACAACCTGTGACCAGTTTTGAGAAAGCAGCGGTGACACTTTCTGCAGAACCCACCCATCATTTTGCAGGACAATGCTCAGCCAAATGCAGTGCAAGCTGTGGCTGATTTGTTCGATTGATGGGGCTGGGAAGTGCCGTACCATCCACCATACTCCCCGGACTTAAACCCTTGTGACTTCGACTTGATTCCTAAGATTAAGGAACCACTTCATGGCATTCACTTTAGAACTGTTCCAGATATTGTTCAGGTAGTAGACCACTTCATTCGAACTATCAACACAACAGGCGCTGCTAAAGGTATCCTACAACTTCCACATCGCTGGCGACGGGTTGTATACAATGCCGGTGACTACATTGAAGGACAGTAAAACTTCGAAACATGCATCTATAAATAGTTGCCACTATTAAAGTTCCAACCCTCGTATATTCTTTCCTACTGGAAATTAGAGTTGATAGCCATGATATAAAATTATGCATTTGAAGCTTTCATTTGTAGACTGAGAAGTTTCTTGAAAATTAATTTACTGCAAAAAAATAAAATTCAGGATGGTAGATGTCTGTAAGTGAGAAGATAAATATATAAGTGGGTCTAACACAGACAAAGCACATTTCTATTGTGCTTACTAGTCATCTTCACCGTGTATTAGTATCCGTTTCTAGTACCAGTCTGTTGTACACGGAGATTCTTAGATTTGTTGATCAGTTCATGGCTCTGTGTTTTATTGTGACTACTGCTGGCTGCAAGGTGCATATGAATTTTGCCAATGAATCAGTATGCCTGATGGCCAATAACTCTCTCTTCTTCATACTATCCATTCTTTTTATATGGCCATACCATTGTAGTCATTTCCCTTCTACAGAGATCAAAAAGTCACACACATCAAACTAAAAGTTGTCATAAATTGTAAAAGTAAAAAGTAAAGCTACCCCTGTAACAGGCCACGAAGGCCCATAGAGTTGAGAGTTGCACACTATCTAGACAATCAGCTCACAGATGGTGGTAAGGTGTTATAAATTGTATTGCAGTTAATATAATTATATCTCCTACTGATAGATGGTACTGCAGGAGTACTAACGAGTAGAAATGCCATCTGTCGTGTATCGGTCATACCAAGAACAAGTTTTCATTGTGGAACATTATTTCGCCAGTCATTCTTATGCACGTGTCTTAGACGAGTTTCATCAGGAATATCCAGATTCTGCAGTTCCTAACAATTCAACGATAACGAGAATAATTAACTGATTTCAGGAATATGGATCAGTTTCAGATAGGAAGAGATCCAGGAGACTGAGGTTAAACTGACTGACATGGAGAAAATGTTGCAGTGTTCCCCTTCCAAAAGCCTGAGGAGACTATCATCACAATCAGGGATTTTGTACGAAGTGCTCAGAAAGCGATGAAGAAGTTACACCTTCGTACACACCGTGTTTGCTGCGTGCAGGAACCGAAGGATCTGGATAAAGAAAAACGCTTACTGTACTGCAGATAGTTTTGGACATTTGTTGGCAACCGCGGAATTGAAGAGTTTGATCAGGTTTTCTTCACTGACGAAGCATGGTTTCACCTTAGTGGCTACATGAACAGTCAAAACAATAAGATTTGGTCATCTGAAAATCCACATGTGTTACATGAAAAGCCCTTGCACTGTCAGAAAATTGGAGTGCGGTGTGCTGTATCACGTCATCGAATAGTGGGCCCAATTATCTTTGAAACAACAGAGAACAGTCCAGTGTACCAAGACATCATTACACAGTTTATTGCACTTCTTGAAGTTGATGAACGTGAGTGTTGGTTGCAGCAAGGCGGTGCCACATGTCACACACCCAATGAAACCATGCAGTTCTTACGCGAGTTTTTCGGTGACCTTCTCATTTCAAAAGGATTGTGGCTCTTGTGTTCGACCGATTTGTGACCCGCAGATTTTTTCCTTTAGGGGTAAGTCAAAGGAATTGTCTATAAAAACAACCCACATACACAGGAAGACCTCAAGAGGAACATTACAATGGCGATTAACAGCATCAGTTTACAGGTGCTCCACAAAGTGACCTCAAACATGGTAAAAAGTGCTCACACATTCATTGCTGAACAGGGAAGCCATTTTGAGCATATGTTGTAAAGACATGATTTATTTTGCATTTTAAGATGTAAGGTTATTATAAACATTAATAGTAAGTGCTGTATGCCTTGTAGTTTGTGCATTAAACCAGCAAAATATAATTGCTTAGTGTGATGTGCATGATTTCTTGATCTCCCTGTACCTTACTAAAAAATTCTGAATTCCACCATCTCTGAAATAGCAAATCCATTGCTTGGATTCTGCTTTTTTTTCACCTTGCAAGGGATCAAGTGTCTGCATGAAATGTTATTACTGGTGTAAGACATACTGTACAGACTGTCATTTTTTTTTGGGGTATCACACTTTATATTACAGTTCATAAATTAAAGAGACTAAGAAAGACCAGATATTTAGTACACCCACAGTGAAGAAATACATAATTTTTTTAGAAAAATACAAGAAAGTGGCACTGGAGAGATTGAGACACAATAGGAAAATTATATTAAAGTGTATCTTATGGAAATGGGTTGTAATTCATTGAGGACAGTCCAACTGCAGGTTATTTTGCAGTTATTTCATTAAAACTGTATTACGTGAGCAGTTAAATAACTTATGATAACAGTAATTCAGGTAAGATGAACGTTACCGGTGTGTTGTCTGTAACATTTATATCTGTAACTATTTAGAATTACAGCATTTGGAATGAATTGGATATAATATTGTTCTGTTATTAGTTTAACATTTCTTATTAAAGTAAAACTACAAACAGCATACACATCTATATTCTAGAGTAAAACAGCACAAAACGAACAGCAGGATGTCACTGATGTTCCTCCAGTCCAAGTACCTGTCACTGTATAACCATTTGCTCACTTGTCTTCCAAAAAATCATGGCTATCAGCCTCCTTTTGACTTTGGTGGTGGCCGATACACACCAACCACAACAGCATGATCTCGTTCGTATGGTTCCAGAGTTATTTGCTCCTGTGGCTTCAGTTTGTCTGCCTGCAGTTTCTTCACTTCTGATGCAAACACAGCTTCAGGTTGAGCAGTAGAATCTATGCAGCTGGCCTGAAAATGTATTTTCAATGTTTATCACATTGCAGGAAACTGAAATGCTCTATGTGCTAAGGCTGAGGCAACATTTAACACAACTGTGTATTGCTGTGCCCAGATATTTAGAAAGAAAGCTCCTACTGTATCTGAAGTGGAACCTCCATATTACAATGTGCATGGCGAGATGATTAATAAAACATCAAAGTATGCCATAAAAATGAAGTCCAAAAATCTGGGCCCCTAAATTTATCACCATGAAGGTTTTGCTGAAGTGGGGAAGGAAGGACATTTTAAAAGTGAATGTCCATAACATAATATGAAATATTTCTCCAATTCGTTGTTTATATATAAGACCAGGAATACTTGTACACACTTACACATACATTATAATGTATAATGTATGAGCACAGAACTGAAGAACTCCATTCTTAAGATCTGTTACTGGGAAATGACAAGCAGACTGAGAAGGCTTGGCGTGTGCTGTAGTAATTTGTAATGTGTGAAGGTTAGTGAGTGTTATAGTTGCTTGTAGTTATGATCTCTTAAGTGGTCTGTAAATCCAATCTCCAATCCAAACCCTGTCTATAGTCACTCATACATGTGACAGTACAGGGCTGATAGCACACACCAGTACCGGTAGGGTATGGAGACTGGTAGAATATCAAAGGGGGACGTACAATAGGTCAACAACTGGTCAAGGTGCATGGGGAAACCCACCCCCTCCAATAATAATAATAATAATAATGGGTTTCCCCATGCACCTTGACCAGTTGTTGACCTACTGTACGTCCCCCTTTGATATTCTACCAGTCTCCATACCCTACCGGTACTGGTGTGTGCTATCAGCCCTGTACTGTCACATGTATGAGTGACTATAGACAGGGTTTGGATTGGAGATTGGATTTACAGACCACTTAAGAGATCATAACTACAAGCAACTATAACACTCACTCACCTTCACACATTACAAATTACTACAGCACACGCCAGGCCTTCTCAGTCTGCTTGTCATTTCCCAGTAACAGATCTTAAGAATGGAGTTCTTCAGTTCTGTGCTCACATCATTACTGTCCAATGAAGAATTGAACTAAACTCTAAACTTGTAAAATTGATAACCCCTTGGCAAAGACCATGTAGAAAACACCGTTTCCAGCAGTTCCTCTATTGTTGAACATGGATTTGTTGCCACAGGAACCTGCTTATTGTGCGGTCACTACCAAGTAACCGGCCAATATGCTACAATACATACACAGTTACTTTCATGCTCAGAATGTACTACAGTGAGATTAGAATGAGGTTTGAAGTTTGGGATATTGGAGGAAAAACTTGTCAGAAAGCTTTCTGCTAACAGCCAACTCACGTACAATGGATGTGACATACGTAAAAACAATATACCAACCTTAATTGAGATTACAAAATGACCTCCATTCTTCAGAAAATATTGGGAATTGAGGGCAACAATTCTAGCCTGATCAGGCTGAGCTACATCAGCAAACACTGTATCCACCATTCCAACAAGCATCCGGTACTTGTGAGGATGACGGGCATCCTCAATGATAGGGATTACATTGGTCCGTTTTTTAGCCATGTTAAGCAGATCACGACCTGATCTGTGCGAGAACTCCACAGCATAAACTAGTCCTTCCTAGGACGAAGGAAAAAATAATATATGATACAAATAACATGATAAGCATATTCACTCTATAACACATATTCTACAAACTCAGTATAACTCTTTTTATAGTCAAGTTTTCCATCCTGTTGTGTCACTACTATGTAAATCTGTCTGTTGATCACAACAATTCTACACTTCCAATAAATGATTGATAGTCTTGAATGTGAATAAAATCAGTTTAATTAAACAACACAGGACAATCATCCAGTTATGGGTAGCTATACAGCTATCTGGGTAATTTTATGGATGCCAACAGAACTATCCCTGATTTTGGATGTTTCTACTTTGTTTTTGCAATACTTTTTTATATTAAGAAATGTTTTCTGCATTTGATGACAAGATACATTAATGACAATTGATTTGCCTGATTCTGAAATTACACATTTTTTTTAAATAAATAAACTCATGTAGACTATAAGATGAATAATATTCTATAGACAGAAGTTAGATGACAGAATTCTTTCTTGTAGATTGATGTATTCAACTTACTGGTCCAACAACATCAGACACATGAGACACTGTTGTTCCAGATGCAGCTCCCAGGTAAAGAACCTTGCTACCAGGTGCCATATAAATCTGGTCCACTCCTCCTAGGATTGCTGCAGCCAATTTTGATCGGAAGGGATTCCATACACGATACTCTATTTTCTTTTCACCCTCCTGCAAGCAAATTTGGAACATGTGCATATTCAACACAGTACATGGCCTTTCTTAAAAAGGTGACAATTACTCAACTGGCAAAGATATATTCAGCTATTACAGGTAAAAAGGTATTGTCCCTGCACTTATAAGTGCCATGCTATGAGAAGCATGGGGAAGTGGACATAGAGCTCCGCCATTCTTGACCTCGACACTAGATGGAGGTGAGTGGTCAGCTTTACACCACTCCAGAGGAAAGAGCCCCCAGTATCCATCAGATAGGAAAATGGATGGACCCCAGAATCAGTCTTCATGCTGTGGAGTACAGAAAAATCTCTTGCCCTTGCCAGGAATTGAATCCAACCATCCAGTCCACAGCCCATCACTATGTTGACTCCAGATTCTCAACTATTAGGGACCCCAAATAATACAACACCATGGTAAAATAGAGCACATCACTGAACCCTATTCTGAGCTCAATGAATCCAGTTCACGTTGACCACATTAAGCCAGTTCCTTGTCACCACAACATTGGACATCCTCAGGTTGAAAACAAGAGACAACTGTAGCTAAGAATATATGAGTACTGAATACACAGCTGCAGACAGTGGAAATGGGATGCTGCTCCAGTATGACAGTCCAAACAAGGGGCTACAAACCTCTTACCATGAAAAACATATATACACACGGCCTTGTCCTTGGATGGTAAACTCTTACTTGTGTGAATACAGTGCATAATCTCTGTGTATGTGTGTGTGTGGGGATAGATTTTTATGAAAATTATTTCAACTACAGTTTTTTTTTGCATGAAGAAGTCGATGGTTATAATAGGCACACGACCAGTCTAAACCAATGTGTAATAAACACAGGCAAGAGTTCTGTCTTCGAATTCATGACCAGCACTACAGAAGGCCTATACATTATTGGTACAAAGGTCTTAAATGAATGTGCTTATCAACCAGTCAAGCAGTTATGATGTCTATAGACATCATGCATGTTTCTAACTACTCTGTTGCAGATATAATGCCAGTCAGCAATGGTAACTTGTATGTTGTGCTCGCAAGATGTTCTAGCTACTTCGGAATGTGAGAGGAAGTTGTTGATTGCTTGATAAAGTCCTGGGTTCAAGTTCTTTTGACTAAACATTATGGCAGGCCCTAGCAAGAAGATGCGTGTAGTTTTATGAACTGTTACAAGATAATGAATATAGTGGTATTTCAGAGAATGAATATAGTAGTGATAATGAAATAAATGTGAAAATTTCATTAGGCGGTGAACAAAGTGTCAGCTCTGATTAAGCAGAAAATGTCAGTGACAACAGCAGCATGCAACCTGACGCATGGGCAAATTCAGGTGCTGAGCAGCCACATTTTCCATTTACTGGCAAGCTTGGCATAAATGTTAATTTCAAAGACCCCAATAACCCCCTGGAATATCTTGAGTTGTTTTGTACACTGGACATTGCAGAAGCAATAGCCATAGAAACAAATTGGTATACCCAAAAATTTTTAGAAAATATGCCTAATCTAAAACTGAAATCTAGGACCCACCACTGGGCTGGTATTGAAAACTACATAATTATAAAGTATTCACAGTATCTGTCACTTGAGTTGCAGCAATGTTTCTAGTAGTATAATCAATTTTGTGATTATTTCAGTCTGTAAAAGATAACACTTTTGTAGTGTTGTTTGGATGAACAGTTCAGTTCATTCATCCACACTAGCTTTAAGCTTGCCCACATGGCAATAAGAAACTCTGTTTATCAATGAGGGATCCAGAGTGTTGCAATAAACCAAACTGGCAATGTGTGTTTTTGCAAGTCAGATTTGTCAGCAGACTACTGTGATAGTGTTTTATTTTTAAATGCCACACGCTGCTCAGGACTGCATATATTGAATGTGAATGACTCAGGCATACATGTGATATCATGTAGGCCGAATGGAAATGAAAGTCAGTGGCGACAGTAGCAGGTTTTTTGAGAATAAAGCCAAAAGTACTTAATTTTACTAAATATTTGAAGGGCATTCCGTATATAATGCCTCCTACTTTTTTGTGTTAATATGTGATGTCTGAGCTGGATGTTGGTGGCGTTGTAGTAAAGGTTGAACCTTCCCGCCAATGTACTGTTAGTTTGGTTGTGGTGTGACAGATAGCAACAGCAGAGCAGTCTACCAAAATGGTGTCTGACACAGAAGTGCGTACGAAACAGAGATGTGTTACTGAATTTCTTACTGCCAAACAAATTTCACCCAATGACATCCATCGATGCTTTCTAAAGGTGTACGGAGATGATACAGTGGATGTCAGCACAGTGAGGCAGTGGGTAGTGTGTTTCAACAGTGGCGAAAGTGAAGTGCACGATAAGAAATGCCCTGCACGTTCCTGCTCAGCTGCCACTCCTCATGATGAACAGCGCCTCGATCAGCTCATCCATACAGATTGGCAGATAACGACCAGGGAACTGTGTGCACGGCTTAATATCGGCTGTAATGGATTGGAAATGATGTTGGGGAAGCTGGATTATTGCAAAGTTTATTCCAGGTGGGTCCCACAGATGCTTACACAGGACCACAAAACTCATCGAATGGAAGTCTGTCAGGACCTGTTGCACCAGTCAGAGGCTGAAGGTGACAAGTTTCTGGACAGCATCGTCACTGGAGATGAGACATCGTGTCACCACTATGAGCCGGAATCCAAAAGACAGTCCATGGAGTGGCGACATGCAGATTCCCCAAGAAAAAAGTTCAAAACACAGCCATCAGCAGAGAAAGTATGCGCATGGTCTTTTGGGATAGGCAGGGTGTGATTTTGTTGGCTTTCCTGGAGCCTGGTGAGACTGTCAATTCTGAATGCTGCAAGACGACGCTGACTAAGGTGAAAGCCTGCATTTCCAGAGTCAGGCCATAGAAGCAAACAACCTTTCACTTGCAACACGATAACACTAGACCCCATACCAGTTTGGCGACCATTGCACACACTGCAAAGTTTGGCTGGACTGTCCTACCACATCCACCTTATAGCCCCGATTTAGCACCTTCAGACTTCCATCTCTTTGGGCCTATGAAATATGGACTATATGGGCAACATTTTCCAGACAACGATGCTGTCATTGCAACTGTAAGAAAGTGGCTAGCATCTGCTGGCACAGACTTTTACAGGGGCAGCATACAAGCTCTTGTTCATTGCTGGCAAAAGTGCATAATGAATGGTAGCGATTATGTGGAAAATAACTGTAAGTAGCTGAAATCTTGCTCTATTTAACTATGTTATTATGCTTTCTGTATCTGTTGTAGTTTTCATTAAAATAAATAGGAGGCATTATACACAGAATACTCCTCGTATATATACACATTAATTTAATGGCTATAAAAATGAAAACATAGGTATGTGAAGTCTGATAATTGGTAGTTACTATAGGATTCTGACAATAGTGTATAACACATAGAGATATTGTGTTTTTGGACTTTATCCATCGTCATGGTTTTAAGATAACTAAGAAAAACACGATGTTTCAGAAACTGGATCTGTTTCTGTCCTCAGGTGAGGGAAAACACCTATTTGTTGGGTCCCTTAGAAAGAGCTAGCCTCAATCACTGGACCAGTGGTCCAGTGATTGAGATCCAGTTCAGATCCAGTTTCCAAAACGTCGTGTTTTCTTAGTTATCTTAAAACCAAGACGATGGATAAAGTCTGAAAACCCAATATCTTTCTGTCTGATAATTGGTCTTTCAGGTGCTTATTATTCCATAATTTTATAATGACACATGACTGAGATATTGCATTTTAAAACGGGAGCAAAAAGTATAAAATTAAATGCTGCAGTGACAAATTCAAATGTCTGGGGGAATTTAATGTGTCACCATGGGAGACATAACAACACGGAAAAGAACTTGACTGGTTAATTTTGCCACGTCTGACTGCACATAAGTTAAACAAAAATTTAGTGAATTTTCAACAGATTTGACATTGGGGATTTCTATTAAAATTTACTGACATGTAAGCTTTAGTTAAAACTGCACAATAACAGACCACTTACATAATGACCTATGTGTTCCTGTACACATCCTGGCTGTAACTCATCGAACATTTATCAGAATAAAGCTTAAAGAGAATCATAGAGAAAAATGAAACGTAATTTATGTCCTATTACATAAATGTTATGGTTTTCAAAACATCTGAACAAAATGAATTTTTATGTTGTGATCTCATAACTTGAGAACTGTCATACTGATTTTATAAAATTTTATTCTGGAAGGCCTTGCATAAATTTATCAAACCATCCAAAAGTTTCATTCACTTAAGATGCTATAACAGAAGGAATGCGCTAGGATTCTTGTGTTATGTTTATACATAGGTAAGTCAATAAGTAAGTTACAAATGGATACAGAACTGAAACAAATAAGAGTACTGATTTGAAAAATGCTTTTTTATTTCTCAACATAATCTCCCTGTACACTGAGGCACTTGTCCCATCGTTTCACAAGCCCCTGAAAACCAGCAGCATAAAATTCTCTGGGCTGTTGTCGGAACCAGGTGGTGACTTCCCTTTCTACAGCTTCATTGTCAGGAAAATGTTCAGCCGAAAGCTGATGCTTAAGAGGGCTGAACAAATGGAAGTTGCTTGGAGCAAGGTCAGGGCTATATGGAGGATGCTCGAGGACTTCCCACTTGAAATTTCACAGCGTCTCATTTGTCTTGTTGGCAGTATGGGGATGCACTAGCCAGAATTGTCACAGGTGATGAGTCTTGGGTTCACCATTACCAGCCCGAGACAAAGAGTGCATCAATGCAGTGGAAACATCCTGCGTCGCACTGCCAAAGAAAAGTTTAAGGTGACACCATCCTCCAGGAAAGTGATGCTCAGTTTTCTGGGATCACAAAGGCATACTGCTCACCGCATTCCAGCCTCAAGGACAAACCATAAATGCTGACTCCTTTGTAACATCCTCAGAAAACTTCGTAAGGCCATTCAACAGAAGCGACCAGGACTCCTCACCAAAGGCGTGTTGCTCTTGCATGACAACATGCGTCCCCATACTGCTAACAAGACAAATGAGACACTGCGAAATTTAAAGTGGGTAGTCCTCAAGCATCCTCCGTACAGCCCCAACCTTGCTCCAAGCGGCTTCCATTTGTTTGGCCCTCTTAAACAACATCTTTCGGCTGAACATTTTCCTGACGATGAAGCTGTAGAAAGGGAAGTGACCGCCTGGTTCCAAAAGCAGCCCAAAGAATTTTATGCTGCTGGTTTTCAAGGGCTTGTGAAACGATGGGACAAGTGCCTCAAAGTACAGGGAGAATATGTTCAGAAATAAAAGCATTTTTCAAATCGGTACTCTTATTTGTTTCAGTTCTGTATCCATTTGTATTGTACTTATTGACTTACCCTCGTATTTAATCATTAGGTGTGTTATGCATTCTGATCTCCTGGAAAGTTCATCTCCATTACAAATCATGACATAAAATATGTACATACTATTATATCACTCGTCTTACATATCTGTAATTGTTACTTACATCCACTGATATTCTCTTCTCTCCATAGACAGCTTCTCCTGGTACCATATTTAATGTGACAAGAGCATCCTCCTTGCCTCTTGCAATGAACACACCCTCATGACGGTGAGGCTCAATTATGACATTCTTGCCGCCTTTAAATCCACCTACAAGAAATAAGAATAAAGACTGAAAATGGTATACTTTAGGGATTGTCACAAAGCACAAAAGTTATAAGAACTGTTTGTGACAATTTTATTTGCTAACTCTAGGAACAATTTACATGAACACTTTTTCAAATTTTGGCCAGGGTACAGTTAAAATTGAGACTGTTTAAGTAGTTCCAAGATGTAAAAATATTCCTACCACCTCCACGCCCTCGTCCTCCTCCTCCTCCTCTCCCACCTCCTCCACGGCCCCTGCCACCAAATCCCCCTCGTCCTCCACCTCGACCTCCAGGACTTCTGCCAAAGCCACCTCTTCCTCCACCACCACTATCACGCCCACCACGAAAACTACCACCACGTGGAGAAAAACCTGAAACAAATCACACAGTATAATAACTACATGATCAGTAAACTATGGATATACAGTAAAACTTGGTTATAGCAACATCGGTTTCTGCGACACTTTGTCTATTGCGTCAAATATTCAATGGTACGAACTAATTCCTCATAAAGCAACTGTTTTTATACCTTGCTTAGTACGACATGCACAAATGCATCAACCTCGTATGTAACGTCATTTTCATTCCTGAATTTCTCTGATATCGTGGGAAAGTTCGATGTGTCTGCCCACCCTCACTTTCTCTACTTGTTGACGTGACTGTCCTGGAAGAATACGACCGCGATCTGCAAGAGGACCGTGGGTTTTATGCGAAAACAAGGGTGTGGGGTGGGACTGCGTGAATAGTGCAAGAGGAAGCGGCAGGTTGTTAACTGCATTCCTTTCCTAGAATCTCGTCTAACAGGACCTCACATTGTCTACTTACCCTATAGTGTTCCTGCCTAAACCCAGAGAAGTGCAGTAGCGAAAACATGGCAATGAAAAGGAAAGTTTTAAGCATTGAAGAGAAAGTTAAAGTGATTCGTGAAATATTGTGTGTATTGTCAGTGAAAAGCGCTGTAATATGTCTTTGATATTACACATTTGGGCAATTCCACGCAAATGTTACGTTAGTCTGTACTTAACTACGTATTTCACTAAAAAATGCAACATTTTAACTCGGTTTTTGGTAGATTTTTACGTGACTAACATAAGGCTACCGTGGAAGTGCCCATTTCGGTTACAACGACATTTGTTTATAACGACACTATTTTTAGGTCCCTTTGATGACGTTATAACCAAGTTCTACTGTACTGGAAAGAGACAGTAACTTCACCATAAGATGCACAATAATAGGTGTGCATGTTAAGGGTAGTCAGGATGTGAATAATTTTTAGCCCATGCTTTCTTACTGGCATCCATGACAGGAAAACATGAAAGAAGAGTGACACTTCTTCTGACTCTCAAAAACGTTTACTAAAGGTTTTTAGATGACTAATGAAAAAACAGGCCACTAAGCATCCAGTGTAACAGAAACTAAGTTCCTTGGTTTCATTATGTATTATCTTAGAAACAGCATATTGACCTAGTGATCAATAGATTATCCTGTGTGTGCTATGCATTGCGAAATATAAAACATATTGTATCATTTCAACGCTAAGGCCAATCTACTTTGCTTGCATACACTCCATCATGAAACAGCATATTGACCTAGTGATCAATAGATTATCCTGTGTGTGCTATGCATTGCGAAATATAAAACATATTGTATCATTTCAACGCTAAGGCCAATCTACTTTGCTTGCATACACTCCATCATGAGTTATGTTATAATCTTCTGGGGTGGCACCTCTCATGCCAGGAAAGTGTTTATCTTGCAAAAGAAAATTATTAGAATCATAACGAACACTAAATCTAGAGAATCTTGCATGGATATTTTCAAGAAATTGGAAATTATGACGTCATATTCACAGTATATATTCATTACTTTTATGCATAATTAATAATAAATATTTATTTAACTTTACTAATGAGATTCATGAATATATAACTAGATCCAAAGCTAATTTACATGTACCTACTGTGAATACTTCAACATTTGATAAAGGAGCCTATATAACAGGTATTCAAATGTTCAATCATCTTCCACAATCAATAAAGATTTTGGTCAAATTTAAATTTACATTAAAGAGGTTTTTATGTCATCATTCTTTTTACATTATAAACGAACACTTTCAATATAAAGAAGACAAAGGATTGTAATCCAGATATTTTCTTGAATGGTTTGTTAGGCTGATTTTCCACATGATGTATTAGCCACTGACTAGTCACTGGGCATTTAAGGGTATGCATTTTATGGAAGTATGGTATTGTAATAAACCATCTGTTTTAAATAACACATGACAGTAAACAATTAAGATGGTCTTGAATAGTTTACTTACAGCTCATTTCCTTTTATCCTGTAGAGGAATATGTTAATTAATAGTTTTCAAATTTTAAGGTTCTTGCTATGAAATGACTGATTGTATATACTGAATTTTTATTACATATTCTAATTTTTAAATCCTGAAGAAATGTATTATATTTGGACTGTTAAATTAAGTATTTGTAGTTATGTGATGGAAATAATTGAATCAAACTTCTATATTATGAACAGGTCTTTTGTATTAATTTATGATGGTGACAAGGATAATCATATACACTCAACTATCAATTATCCAGGATAATGGTGGGGATGGAAATCACGATCAATCAAAAACCCGGTTAAGACAAATTTTATTAAAAGTAGTACTGTAATACTGTACCTTCATCATACTATAGGCCTACCTGTATTTGAATTTATTCAACCTCATGTTTATGTCATCTAATGGCCTATTTAATACTTTTTTTACATTACACTGAAGTATGTAGTGTGGCAATAAAGAAACCGGATTACTTTTATGACTCATTTCCGGCCACGTCATTGACGAAGAGGAGGGTAGGGCATTGACCCTTGGACTTCCCTCTACCGTCACACAAAGTTTCATTCACGTGCATCGGTTAGTCTGGCCGCGACCATTGTTAGAAGCGGATCGTGTTTCTGAGCTCCGTCGGAATAATGCTGAGTGCTAATGCAGAACAACGTGCTAACATCAAATTCCTCACAAAACTTGGAAAATCTGCCACTGAAACTTACAATTTGTTGACAGAAGTATATGGTGATCAGTGTCTATCTCGCACGCAAGTTTTCGAGTGGTTTAAGAAGTTTATGGAGGGTAGGAAAAACGTCGGGAACGATCCAAAATCGGGCCGTCCTCCCACTGCGAAAACTCCAGAGAATGTGGAGAAGGTCGCTAGAATTGTTCGAAGAGATCGTCGACTGAGCATTCGAGCAATTTCTGAACTTACGAACATCAATAAGGAAAGTGTTAGACAGATTTTGCACGACGATCTGGGCATGAAAAAGGTGTGTGCTAAAGTGGTGCCAAAAATCCTTACCCCCCAGCAAAAGGAACATCGAGTGAATTGCTGTGTTGACACTCTTGAAAACATTGAAAATGATCCTGATTTCTTCCAAAACGTAATTACGTGTGACGAAACTTGGATTCTTCAATATGATCCAGAGACTAAGCGACAATCCATGCATTGGAAGAGCCCCAAATCCCCTAGGAAGAAGAAAGCGCGCATGAGCAAGTCCAAATTCAAAGCAATGATGATTGTTTTTTTCGATATCCGGGGGGTAATCTACATTGATTGGGTGCCTGAAGGTCAGACTGTCAATCAGGTTTATTATAAAAATGTTTTGACGTACCTCCGTGAACGTGTGCGACGAAGGAGACCAGACATGTGGAAGAATGCCTCATGGGTTCTTCATCACGACAACGCGCCAGCACACAACGCGCTATCTGTGAAGAGGTATTTGGCAAAAAACAACATTCCAGTGATGGAACATCCACCGTATTCTCCGGACCTAGCACCGTGCGACTTTTTTCTCTTCCCAAAAATCAAGTCTGCGCTGAAAGGGACCAGGTTCGAGTCCGTGGATGCAGTGAAAGCAAAAGCGACGCAACTCTTGAAGAGCATAACACAAGATGACCTGCAGCACTGCTTCCAACAGTGGAAAATTCGCATGGAGCGGTGTAGGGATCGGGGAGGGGACTACATTGAAGGGGATAACATTTCGACTGTCTGATTTTTTTTTAATAAAGGGGTTAGAGCATGAATCCGGTTTCTTTATTGCCACACCTTGTATTAGTTATTTCAATCACAGTGTTCAACAACATCCAACACTTTTTACGAATATTCACACTTAACATTCCAATACCATATTGCATTGCTAATTGTTTAACTGCTGGTCACGGTAGCCGAGCGGTCTAAGGCATGCACTGTCTTCACTCGCTCGGAAGCTGGGATCATGGGTTCGAATCCCATTCAGGGCATGGATGTTTGTGCGCGTTTTTCTGTGCTTGTCTACAGGTAGAGGCCTTGCAATGAGCTGATCACTCGCCCAAGGAGTCCAACTGTATGTGTTAGATCTAGAAAAACCGAAGTGAACGGAGAAGTTCGTGGAGGTAGGCCTAGGCCCACTGGGGCTGTAGTGCCAAGGGAAAAAAAATTGTTTAACTACACCTCTTTTTCCCAACTGATCGATAATTTCAAGTTCCTGTTGAATACTTAACGCAACACACTTCCTTTTACACCCTGACATTTTGCTAATGCACCTGAAGATCGATACTGGGGCGGTGTATCTGTCCTTGAAACTTTCCACAAATCCTTGAATTCTTTCACCCCTACACTAGGACACTGTGTTAGCATAACGAGACCAAAAAATGCAGAGCTCGGTTCACACTAGTGCGTAAATAGTGTTACAACTCACCATGTGAAATCAGAAAAGCCCCGGTTAAGCCGCAAACAGGTTTATCAGCCCCCGGATAATTGAGAGTTGAGTGTATCTGCATAAATCTGTTCATATTTGAATATTTTATGTACAAATTTTGTATTGTGACTGTATTGCATGTTGATGGCTCCATTGTTTTTATGTATTTTGACATGTTCTTTATCCTATGGCATGCGTTACCTGAAAGGATCTATGGAATTTAAAATAAAGTGAAAGTGAATGACCTTATTCAAGTTATGCAATACTGATTATTCCACAGATGCACAGTTATTCCTATATGTACTACCTACTTTAACATTACAATTCTGCATTTTGCACATATACTGTGCTTATATGTTCCATACATTTCTCAGAAAAAACAGCCATTACATGCCTAAATAGCACAAGCTGACTGTTTATAACAGAGACAAGGTATGATTTCTGTGTGGTAGGAACTGTGTGGCATAATCAACAAACCAATAGCCCAAACACATTACAATTTATCTTCAATATTGCCCTAATAAGCTATTTAACAGCTACTGTGACATGAGCTCATGTGTTTGATGCTGGGCAACCATACCTGGGTCCTTGTTACTGTATTAAACATTTGATTGGTCTTGTCCTTGTGTCAAAATGTTACATTAATGTTACACATAGAAACATGTGATCATGTACGATACCTAAGTGAAAAAGACAATATTCTGCCATAAGTTTCAGGCTTCAAGTTTCCTCTACTTCCAAAATGGAACTTCTACGAATAAATGTGAATTCTCATGTAAGTGCCAGGGATGCACTGTAACAGGAAACATTTCTGGTATCTGTGATCTGGGTGGATTTTGTATGAGATTTATTGGCCTACAGCCTCATCAATGTACAGGCTCTCAGATGACCTCGCTGTTACACTTATCAGATTATATTTTCCGTTCTGCATTTTCCAGTACTCCCAGTGGGAGTTGATGGACCCGGTTGCACTAAGTCTGTGTCTGCCACCGGTTCTGCCGCCACCATCTGGTCTATAGCCCAGGCTTTTGCCACATTCAGCAGAAATGCCTTGTATTTCAATTTTGAATGAGGGTTTAGATTTTTGAAAACCAAAAATGAGTTGAAAATGGCACAATTGATAAGCCACAAGGCAACTTTCTTTGTTCACGTTACTGTTTTCCAAGGAAGAGAATAATAGGCCACGTACTGATCGGCTCTATCAGCTCCCTTCATGAACATATTATACTCGGAAATACAAACAGGTTTCTTTACCTGTCCATGTCTCCTTTGAACATCAACCATGCTCGAATTGTGAACTGTGGAAATCATATTCACAACAAGAGTATCCCTCCAGGACTGAAGAAGAATATCCCCCTTCCTCCTGAATGTGGTTTCACCACATTTCGAAGATTTAGATTCCTCTTTCAGATCTGGAGGAAGTCCTCTGTTCACCCTAATTGTTCCACAAACACATTCTTTTCCCAAAAGAAGGTATTCTGCAGTTACCACACTGTTATAATAACTGTCTTGTTAGACATGGTAATTTTGATCAAGATAGGGTTTCTTGTAATTTTTTGCCATCACCAGAATAAATTTCTAAATTTCCAATATAGCCTGAAGTGCTTTCACTAACTACATGAACAAGTAGGCCATACTTTGTAAGTTTCCCAGGATTATATGTTCGCATATTATATGTTCCCCTCCAAGAAATCACAGATTCGTTTGGCTTATAAACTGCCTGAAATTTCTGAACGAAAAAGTTCGGTAAGGGCTGAATTTTGAAAAGCCTGCTTGTTGATTGTGGTTGCAGTTCATTATCATTGAAATGCAAACACCACCAGATTTGCTCATATGTCTTATGGCTCATTAGTTTGCCGAAAATTGGAATTTCTAAAAATGGATCTGTTGACCAATACTCTTTCAGATTATCCCTCCTTGTATGGCCCATTAGAAAGATTATTCCAAAATATTCCAAATTTTCTCATTTCTGTTGAAGTGACATCCACCCACTTGAACATCTTGTATAACTTCTGTCATAATGTTCACGGAGTTGGAGTATCTGCTAGTTTCCTGACATAACATGTCAAAGAAACTATCTCCAAAAAACAGTTCTGCTACTTCAGACTCTTGCATTGGGTCCGATGGAATTTGTTTCACCCCCGGATTTCCAGTAAACTGTCCCAAAGTAGGCGTTTTATCTACTTTTCCCCATGTGGCTGTCTCCACATTTCTGTCAGAGCTACTTTAACTTTTATTGTCTGTGGCCACAATTCTTTGTTGTCCCCTGTCACTGTCACTGTCACTGTCTGAGTCACTATCACTACTCCTCTCACAAGGCACATCAGATAGCTCATCAGAGAACAAGTCAGATATTTCTTTTTCTCCGAGAGATCGCGTGGTCTTCAACCGCGTTCGTCCTTGATCCAAATTGAACTACTAACTTACTGCCTGGTAGATAACAGCTCGAAGGGACAAAGATCATTTTCCTTTGGAGTGGGGAACCAAAACAGTGAGGTCAAGTTACTGCCTACTAAGCAAACATTCCGGAGTCTTATTACCCAGTAGTCATCCAGCTGTGTGGCGCCAGAGTAAGGTATAGGATGTTACAACCTAACATGTCATAAAATCATGATATCATACGACCAGTCCGCCACGCTTAAAAGCGAAAAGCATGATATCATGCAACTGGTCAGCAATGTGTTAGGTACCATGCCATGAAGATGTATTGGGAAGTGGAGGCATAACTCCACTAGTTTCTTTGGGTGGTGAGACTGAGTTCACTTGGTATGTTGGCCACTATTTAGCCTATTGTATACCAGCCCAAGATGACAGATGATGAGTGTGGAGCAGTCAATGGAATGAGAATTTGCAGGGGAAACTGAAGTACTCAAAGAAAATTTGCCCCCGTGCCACTTTGTCCACCTTACCTGGGATTGAACCCAGACCACAGAGAAGGGAAGTCAGTGACTTGTGGCCTGAGCTATGTCACAGCCTTACCTTGGAACTAAATGGAAGCAAGCTGTCAGCTTCATGCCCCAGCCACTTACCCTGGGAGAAAGAGCCTCCAGTAACCATTAGCTATAAGGCTGGATGGGCTCCAGAATGAGCCTGGACACTGTGGAGCAGAGGAAAATCTCTTGTCCCTGCCAGAATTGGACCCCAGCCATCATCCAACCTGCAGCCCGTTGCTATACAGACTGAACTATCCCCGCTCCATGTATTACACATTTATGTTTCAGACTTTTCAGTATACAGGATTTATAATTACTTCTAAAGTAATAATAATAATTAAGGCCCAAGCAAGCAAACTGTGCAATATACTTCCCATTTATGAACTATGAGGCACTACAGGCTCTAACAAATAAAACTGTGTACATTTAATACAACTTAGACTAATTTAATGTGGGAACTACTCACATTACCCTTGTACCTTCTATGACTGAATAGCATCTCTGATATATCGACAGGGTGAAGATTACATAGGAAGAAGCGCATGAACTTACGCTTTCATAATGCCTTCATATTGTAATGTTGTATTCAATCTGTGAACTTATTCTAAATTATTTTGCTGGGTATGTGCTGGTACAGTCTTCTTCACTTTTTACAGTATTTCCAACAGTTCAGAGCGAGTGTACGGGAAGTAAAAGTGAGCCAGATATTTTAATGAACAAAATACATAAGCGATTTGTGTACAGAAATGTATTCCTTCTCAGCGAAAATTATGAACCGACCGGCAAATTCATATACAGATAAGGATCACATAATTATAAGAGATTACTGTGTTTTTAGACACCATCGTCACAGTCCCTTAGTACTTACGGAGTTACGGCGACTACTGAACAAACTTACCAGGTTTTCCCATTTTTAATGTTTAACCATGTGCCTCACTAAGCTGAACCTAACCTCACTGGTACCACCTTCCTGCGCGTTCTTGTGACAAACACACACACACAGCTTTTCTTGTTTCCGTCGAACTAGCTCCAAAGATCACATATATCACTTTGCAAGCTCGAATCATATCGATAGGAGGGATGACGTCATTACCTGACGACAGAATCTCGACCATGTCGACCGATTTCGACAAATACGTTGTGAAGGTTGTGAAAGCGACCAGGCTGATCGAGGTCGACTACTTGCAGAAATTGAGGCAGGAAAGAGTGGATGTGGGGTACCGACAGTACCGATATAAGTGGTTTTGAAAACAGAAACGTATATTATAATGGCGCTGGGATGAGAATGTGTGTTAATTTGTTACCTATATAGCATTACGTTACACATTCTACTGCAGTGTCAGTAACTGTGTTAAAATATTTTTATTAGTTTCTGCGTTACATAAAGTCGACCGATTTCTGCAACCTTAGAAAGTACAAACTAGAGATGTTGACCGGAGCAAATCAGTTTTTTAAACATGCTGTACCAGAGAAGAAGGAAAATATTAGAATTGGATCAAGACGGAGCCAAGTAAGAAGTTGTAATTCCATTAACTGCATAACAAAAAAATCTAATTTAATTAATCATGGTAATTAATTTATGAACTGTTAATATTTACAACTTCAGTACATTTCTGTTATTAAAGAATTACATTTTGAGACTTCTTTTCCATTTCAGTTAGCCCTAATACAAACCAGATATGTTATTGAGTGCTTGAAAAATTTGAATCCCGAGAAAACATATGAAATAGGTAAGTAATCTGTTATTTGATATGTGCAGAATAATACAGTTTAAGCAAAATGTATACATTGGAAATCTTTTGAAAAGTTTATTGTTTCATGACAGTTTGTTTTATGACTTGTATTGCAGTTGAAATGTCAACTATGGGTGATCAAATTTTAAACAAAGCTTTGCCAAAAATAGGTGAAAAAAGTTTATTTACTAAAGAATTAGAGATTGCTTTAGAACAGCAAGATGTCGATTTTGTGGTTCACTCTCTAAAGGATCTACCAACAACACTGCCAGATGGCCTGTGCATAGGAGCAATTCTGAAGTAAGTAGATCAGGAGAATCACTTGTTGCTGTATGTTAATAACTTGCATACTGTATTACACCTTTGACTGCCAAGTCCCCCCATAGAACTACAACTAGTAATGCCAAGGCTGCTTGGTGCTAAAATCAGGTGCACAGGAAAACCCACAGTATGTTCCTCAAATTATCTTCAGACAGCAACAGAAACATTTTTTGTGGAAGGTTGTTGTTTTCTCTAAATTTGTATTTCACATTTGATGCCATCTATTGTCAGAAATGTTATACTAATTTATTAACAACTAGCTGATCTCTTCATCTATAGTGATTTTAATACAAGTCTTAAGTTTGTTTAATTGGTGTGTGATGTGCAGAGGGTTATAATTTCACTGTATGAATGGATATGATAACAGTTGTAAGGGTCAGAAGCATTCAGTGTTACCATTGCTCCCTTGAGGGAAGATTGTGTCTGTGAATGGTGGTGCTTGGAGTTGTATGGTTTTACATGCATGTCTATATCTATACATGCTCATTTATATGCCTAGTTGTCTTGTCTAGAAAGAAATAAACTCATAATTATTATAGTTTTAAAGCAGTTATGTGAAATGAAAGATACATAGTGTCATAGGTCGACACTGTGTATCTTTCACTTCATGTAACTGCTTTAAAGCTGTACAGGAGTGAGGGGGTCTGGCCTGCATGCACCTATCATTTGATCAGAACATCAGGACCTCTCCCCATTCTAGATTGTTTCAGACCACTCAGTTGATGAGAGAGCCTGTGATCATTTATGTAGGCACAAGAAATTTCCTGAAGGATGCCACACCTATAAAGCTTTCCCATAAGCGGACCTCAGTTCTGTTCTGTGTGGTGAGCAGAACATATGAGTGAATTGTATGCCTGCCAGTGTCGAGATAGTCAGCACAGTCTATTAGGGAATCAGTGAGCTAGGGTAGTAAGTCAGTGTTCAGTTAAGTTTAGTGATAAGAGAATGAGACAAAAGAATTGACTGCTAGTGAGTGAGCAGTGACATTGCAATGAAATTATGATGGACCTCAATAGCATAAGTGTTTATGGATAGTGGAAAAATAACTGCCCTAAATGTCAGTAATCTTTACATTATCATGTGGCCATGCCTATAGCATAATATAACTATGGAATGTGGGACATGTATAGTTGTTTGCCTTCTCATTCTTGCAGTAATGAAGCCATGTCTATCGAGAAGTCATTTTATGAATTGCAGTACCTTGTGGCCAAAAGAATAGAATTCCTATTCACTCAGTTTATTTATTAATATAATTATGATGTAGAAGTGACAGTGAAGAATAGAACTGCTTACAGAATTTTACAGGGGATACCCCTTTGGAGAAAACCACTTGAAAATGAGAGGAGGCAGTGAGGGGATGACATGAGGATGGATGTAGGGACTATTGTTTGTGATAATGGGAGGTGGATGGAACATGCCCAAGATCATATCCAGTGATGGGTTTTCATATTAGCAGTACTAAATTGTCAGGTTCTGTTAGAATGTTGGTGGTGTGCTTGTATTATTGAAATATTTAGTATTTCAAATTGTGCTTATTCACAAATGTACACATGGCTACAACATAAAAAGCATAAAATGATACATTTAAATTTTGATCTTCTAGGTTATGATACTGTACAGTGTGGTAGGTTGTAACCAGTGTTTTGGAGGAACCTGTTACATCCATCTTAAGGGTTATCCAGCTACATGATGTCAACCCAGAGGACCACAATCTAAATGTTCACCACCATGAAAACTACAAATGTACTGAAGGGTGCAAACTACTGAACACAAAAGGGGCAGTTACAGTAATTCTTAATCATTAATGCCGACTATATTTTAACTGTCTTTTCCTTGTCAGTAGATGAATTCTGAGTAGCCATGAATTACCAGGGAAATCAGGATAGAAAGTGTGGTTTCCTTATTTGAGGATGTTTTGTTGGCTGTGATGTAGAATTGATTTTTTTTAATAATCCATGTTTCCCATTAAGAAATTCAGATAACTCCATCTCTTGGAGGTGAAAAATCAGTCTGTTATCTCTGTTGGTTTTAGGCGAGAAGACCCACGGGATGCACTTGTTTTGCATCCAAAACATGAAGGGAAGACTCTGAAATCTTTACCAAAGGGCAGTGTTATAGGTAAGCAAGTTTAATTCATTACTTCTTTGAATTGTTCGTTATTATATGAAGGTTACTATTTTGTTGACTTGATTTTCAGGAACAAGTTCCTTAAGGCGAACAGCACAGCTGAACAGAAGTTACCCAGAACTCAAAGTTGAAAATATTCGTGGTAACCTCAATACAAGACTGAATAAGTTAGATAATGGGGAAACATATGCAGCTGTAGTCCTTGCATCTGCTGGCTTATCAAGAATGGGATGGGAGAAGAGAATCAGTCAGGTGAGTACTGAAATGTGGATTCTCATAATTATAAATGATCTCATAAATTTTTGCCTACCTACATCCTTTTTTTTTTTTGAGTTTTGAATCTATGAAATTAAAGCACATTTTAATCCAACTGAATGATAAGTTGAAGCATGAAAGTTACAATATTAATTAGGGCTGGACTTGTTTATTGAGATGTACAAAGATATATGAATTACTTTGTTGGTCCAAAATTGTCCCATTACCTTCTGAGAAATATTAAATTTAATGTAAGCATTTTTAGAAAATTAATTATAAACCATCATCTCTATTTTGTAATGGTTCTACTGCATGCTACAGAATTCTCCTTGGCTTCATTCTGTATATATGTTATGGGCAATTAATTTGGTAGTCAATTTCACTGTCAGTATTTTGAACACTTAACTTATTTCTGATATCTGTATTTCATTGGTAATCATGTCTTTGATACAAGAGGAGCATATGCTTTGTATTTGTAGAACTGGATACCATAGAAATGATACACATAGAACAATGGTGAAGTTCCTACACTTTCGGTTCCCTCTATTCATTTAAAACATTTCCAGCATATAAATATGCCATTTTCCTTCAGCATCTTTTAGTATTGTGGGGACACAGGATAGTTGGTTGAGTCATTATGCTACAAGCTGGAAGGTTGTGGGATTGAATCCCGATGAGGTCATTGGACTTTTCAATTGACCTGATTTTCCCAGCTGCACTGTGGCCCAGGGGTTGACTCAACCTCTAACAGAAATGAGTATCAGGAATTTTCCTGGGGGGGGGTAAAGGGTGGCCAATGCATAAGGCTGACAACCTGACCACCATCTGTGAGCCAACTGTCTAGGACACTGCTGTCCAACATTCTTATGTACTCGGGCACAATTCACTGATGCCTTTGGAGGTGTGGGTACCACCACACTACTACTACTACTACTACTACTACTACTACTACTACTACTACTACCGCTGCCACTGCTGCTGCTAAAAAACAACAATAATAATAATAATAAAAATTTTCGAAAATATTTAACAGTACTCAGACGTTCAAAAATGTCTTTTGTCTTAGAATTTGAATTAATATTAAAAATCGGCTCAATTATATGTGGTTACATAGGGCGCCAGAAAAATATACCATTGGTGCCGCGTTGGACAGGGCTGGTCTAGAAGATGTGGGAGCCTCAACCTCTCACACTCCTATGGACCTTCATGGCCTGTTACTGGGACAGCGTTACCTTTTTTTTATCTTTTCGCATTGCTCTTCCATTCTCCATTTAATTTTGTTATATTTTTATTTTTAAAAATTTTTATCATGAATAATTATGTTCATCATTTGCATCTTTGTCATGGTCAGTGGCATGTGGTCTATAAATTCCCAACTTCTAAGTTCCCCTGTCATGAGCTAATTGAGTTAAATACCCATCTTCACACACTGTTTCTTAAGATTCATTTTATGTTATTTTTGTGTACACTTAACTTGGACATAAATTTCAAACCAGATATTTTTGTAAGCATATCTTGTCTTAGGAAGCAATACTTCAGATATGGTTTTTATATTATTATTTTGTACTTCACGGCATTTGAGGATTGCAGTAAGATGATTATGTGAATAAAAAAGAGTGGAAAGATGTATTCCAGTTTGGGATAAACAGGTTTTCCAGATGCATTCTTTCTGTAGATGTACTGTATATTCATTACTGAAGAAAGTCATGTAGTGGTTCAATTATAGAATGGCCTTCATTTCTTTAAAAGTGTAATACCAGTGATTTAAATTGTATTTCTGTCTATCTGAAATAGAATGAACCTTACTTAAGCAATTTTATTTCCCTTCCTCCCAGATATAATATTACCATTCATATGATGTTTTCAAAACTTGAATGATCAAATGTTGCAATTGACTGGGTGTCACTACTACTTTGTATTTCGGAGGAGCTAGATTCAGAACAGAGCCTGAAGACTGAACATCCTTACTGAGGTTCTTCAGAGTATCTTCAGCCCCTTCATGCAAATTCTGGGATGGTATTTTAAATTAGGCCATGTCTCTTCCTTCACATCCTTTCTAATTCATTATAGCTTATCATCTTACATTCAGTGCTATATAGTCTGATTTACTGACAGCATCATTAAATAAACCATAAACAAACAGAGGAACAAACAAACAAACATGTATGCTGTGCTTATAGAAATTAGAAGCAGAAGAACTATTATATGCTGTGGGTCAAGGAGCTCTGGCGATAGAGTGCAGAGAAGATGATTTTGCAACTCTCAGACTTCTGGAACCATTATTCCATGGCACTACAACTTTTCGAGTACTAGCAGAAAGAAGCTTCCTAAGGACACTTGGTGGAGGTTGTTCAGCGCCAGTTGCTGTCAAGTCTGAACTGATTGGACAGACACTCTCTCTCACTGGGGCAGTATGGAGTTTGGACGGCAACAAAATGCTGAGACACTCATCTTTGTGTAGGTTGCAGTATAAGGAAGAGGATGAAGATGGAGAACCACCAAGGTAAAGACAGGATAAGAATCAATAAGAGATTCTGTGTTGGGGTTCTGTTGTATAATTTCCTCTGTATAGGGTGCAGATAATTGTATGGGTAATGAAGAACTCTTCAGTGCTACTCCTCAGTTAAGAAGTAGGCTATTTTTACATTTATTTTAATGCTTGTTTAATATTGTTATTAGTAGCTCAGACTGTATGATGGTGAGTGATTAAATGATCAGTGAGTAAGGAACTGGAAAGGAGGTGGTGGTCATGTCCTAATTTGAGGTATTGTGCTGACATTTGCCTGGAGGGACTGGAGAAAACTACAAAAGCAGTGGAGATAGCCAGCCTGTGGGCCAAGATTTGAACTCAGGACCTCTCAAATATGAAGCAGGAGCATTACTCTCTTATCTACAACATTTAGTGTCAGAATTGGTGTTTGGTCCATAGTCAGTAACCATAGTTGGTTATTTGTTTGAAGTTACCAATTCATTGCCTTCGAGAAATACAAGTCTAGAAGAAATTTATTTTTAATATTCTTAAAGAAAAAGCTTATAGATAAGTCCTGACTGCGCCTGGCCTTTACTACACTGCCCTTCAACTATGTCACATTCATTTCACTCTCACGCTGTTAATAGTCTTCTGGATACAACATTCTTTAAGTACCGTAAGGGCATCTACATGAAATTTTGAAACTTGCAGATCCAGTATTCAGTACCATTCACCATATAATTCTTGAAGTATGTAAACTCATAGTGTTTGTCCAGTTTATAACTCTGGAATAACCAGTAGTATTTACTTCAAACTCCTGTATTGCTGAAAGCAGTAAATGTCAGGCACAGTGACATTTCTTCACATTGAGGGATTGTAGAGCAAGTGATATCAGTTAGGTAGTCAATATCTAAACAAATGACACCTCATTTTAGAAATAATGACACTGGCAAAGTGTGGTTACTTCCTCTAATAGCTATAATGAATACTGCAAGTCTTGTATTACTTTTTACATAAATGAAGATAATTTTCATGGGTAATCATGTATATTTTTGTTGCATGATAACTTATCTGCTATTAGATATAGTGTTTTGTTGTATTGTATGATGAGAGTAATTACAAAGAAACTCTTCCTTTTTTCTGTTATCTTAGAAATTTGACTGTTTTTAAGAAACTAAGTTGTGTAGTTAAAGGTGTTTAAAACCCTTGTTCATATTTAGATGTGACTGTGAATATTATTTTGAAATAACAGCATGGCCAGAGTTTGACCTTTTGAGATTATATTTGAAAAATAAATGAAAAGCTGCATATACTAGACCCTGCATCATCAGGTGTTGTTGTTTTCTGTTGTCTAGAGTAGTTTATTTTATATTATTATTACATACAGTGTGGGAAGTCTTGAGAACACTGCTTTGTGTGAGGTTAGCTTATATGGCTCTATAGAACTTCAGGGGGTTTAGTTGCAATACTGTGAGTGCCTACAAAAGGTAAAGTTGTACCTATGCTTAATTATCATGCTATGAAGACATAATAGGGGAAGCATAGCTCCGTGCATATTTCACTTTGGCACTAAGAGGTGAGAGGTCAGCTTCATGCCTGCCCACTCTACCCCCAGGGAAAGTTTCCCCAGTACCCACTGGATAGGAAGCTTGGTGAGCTCCACATTCAGTCTGGACATGGTGTAGTAGAGAAAAATCTGTCCCTGCTTGGAATTGAACCTGAATTCCCCATTTGTTCAGGCCATTCTCTGGTCACCACTGACTGAGCTGTTCTTCAAATATAGTTGTCTTGCTGTCAGTGATGTTTGGACAAGTTAAGAATCGGATTTCTGAAGATTTCAGAGATATGAAAATTCCAGAAGAAGTGTGTGCCTGGTAAATATACTGCTTGGTCCACACTTTTCCAAACATAACCACAGAACATCCAGAGCAGTAAATCTCATATTTTTTTTTTTGTCAATTGTCATTTATTGTTTAGAACTTACTCATTCAAAAGTTAGGTTACCAAGTTGTAAATTGGATTAAAATATTGTCATTTTGTGGCACCTGCTAATATAAAGGTATAAGAAAGTCTTTGTGGAAAGTGTTGCACTACTGGATGAAAATTGTCAAGAATGGAATCTGGAAAGTCACACAGTTGTAAATTAAACTGCTCTGTCAATTGCTTTATCTAGGAAGTGCCCCTACAGAATGCCAAAACTATTCTGCAGTATTTCACCAGGGAATTTGACCTACCGAGATCTGGAAGAAGCAGAAAAATTGGGCGAAGACTTAGCATGTCATTTGGTGAATGAAGGAGCACTAGATATCATGAAGGAAGCAAAGAAGCAGAATGAATCAAGTTGAATTACCCTGAGGTAATAGTGAATATACACACATCTGACCAGGGAGCCTTTGGTAAGGAAATATATGCAGATGCATTTGCCAAAAAAAAAAAAAAATGCCCTGGCACACTGTATGCAATCTCTTAGAGTATGCAGTTTCCTAGTTAGTTACCAGTGACAAAAGTACAGCGACATTCCTGTGTCTCTATTATATTTTGCACGTCATTTAAAATTGTGACATAAGTTTTTGCTTCATCATATCAGGTTTTCCCCTCATAACTAAGTTATAGCTATAATTGAACAGTAGAGATCAAAAGATTTTTAGGCTCACGTTTTCATATTATGTGATATGAAATTTAACCAAAATTTGTCATGTAAAGGAAGGGGCAGACCACAACATATACAGGAGGTGATGGGGTACAAGGAAATTGAATTCTGATAATGTCAAATGATATCTAGTCCAGAATCAGGTGTGCTAGTGGACTTGTGTTTGTAAGTGTTGAACTTCCAGGGTGTATAAGTTGTTCCATACTCTTTCAGTCTTAGTTGCCGTGATTTAACTAAAAATGTTGAGTCACCCAACCCTTAAAATATTACTTTAAATTTGATTTAGCAGTTTAAAAGTGCTGTTAATTAACTTTCATTATGTCTGTGAGGTTGATTAATAGGGGAGATGGGTGTCCATTATCGCAAATGTCCACCAAAACTGAGTGAAGAGGTATTCAATTTTATTTTTCATCCATAACTGAAGTGAATAAATACAATTGGACATGTCAAGAAATAACGAATACATCACATATCAAAGTCACATAAAATTTAAACAGTGTTTTATTACTATAATATAGCAACCGTTATAAGGAACATAACAATAAAAATACAGAAGACCAAAAGAAAAATGTCAGTAATATAAAATATGTAAACACAGTATTAAAAATTGCAAACCAAAAGACACTTAACAAGCTAGTTGCCAGTCCAACATCAGTTAAAGAATTCATGAAGAGAATAGAAAGTGCACACAACAAATAATTTTTTAGTTTCCTCTTAAAAACATTAAAATTTTTAACGCTTTTCAATTCAAGGGGAAGGCAATTATATTTTAGTTCCCATATTAATCACACTTTTTTTTTTGCAACAATCGGTATTACAAAATTGGACATAGAATTTATGTTTATGTATGGTATTGTAGCCGTGAATGTCAGAATACTGAGTTTTATAGATCTTATTCTTTATTATAAAACATAAAATCTCAAATATATATAGTGAGGTAACAGTTAAAATCTTAAATTCACCAAACATTTCTACAGGATACTCTATCATTAACACCTTTAATCACTCTTAGACATTTTTTCTGTATTTTAAATACAGTTTTGGAGTCCTTAAGCTCCCCACCCCAAAAAATAATACCATATTTCAATACAGATTCGAACTTAGTAAAATAGACATTTCTTAATACAGGTCGGCTAACTGAGTCACGTAAGGATTTAATCAAAAAGTCTTGTTGAGCTTTTGGCATATGTATTGAGTGTCAGTTTCCCAGCTTAGATTTTCAGTAATACAAATACCCCAAAATTTTACATTTGATGAATAAATTATTTCCTTATTATTTAAGCAAAAACAGGTCTATAGATTGGAGTAGATCTTCTTCCCTGAAAGAATAATACTTTAGTCTTACCCATGTTTATTGTGATATAATTTTCATGGAACCAATTTTCTAATTGAGTCCTAACATTTAGGATTTTTTCATTTAGTGATAAGAGATTATTGTCAGTAAGTAGTATATTTGTATCATCAGCAAATAATAAGAAACTAGCCTCATGAATAGCTAGGGTCAAATCATTTATGAGCAATAAAAATAATAGGGGTCCCAAAACAGAACCTTGAAGTACGCCATGTTTTATGGCCTTGAGTGATGAAGTAAATGTCTTTAAGTTAGAGGTCTTTTGATCCACATGTTGAATTTTGACAAACTGAGTTCTGTCAGAGAGATATGAACTCATCCACGCATGAACCCATATAGCTCCAGGTTCACAAGCAGTAGATTGTGATTAATAATGTCAAAGGCCTCTGATAGATCTAAAAATATGGCCAAACCAAATCATTTATTATCTAAAGCTTTCAGAATTTCATACTTCTTTTGGCTTATTTTAGACAAAAGATCATGACATTTCAGAGACTGGATCTATCTCTGTCTTCAGGTGGGTAGGGAAGGATAAACCCAATCAGTTGGACCCATTAGAAAGAGCTAGTCTCAATCACTGGACAAATCTTTGTCTGTAGAAAACAACCTATGAACAACCGACAACCGGTTCCATCAGTGGGAGATAAGAATAAAATCACAGTAAAAGACATGATAGAACATTTGTGCCAAGCATGCGCATGTCAACAATGTAAAAAACAGAAGTATAGGTTAAATTCCAGGAATTCAGTTAAAAACGAAAGTAAAAACTTGGATAATGTATGCCTAATCTGTGTGAATAAAGAATCGTGCCACCAGGGCGACTTCCGGGTATCAGACTAATCCCCAGAGCAAAACTTGCAGGAGTAGTGGCAGCCACTAATATTCATAAAAAATTACATTTTTGATTTGTCAACCTCTTCATTGATGAGAGGAATCCATATGGGAGAAATATCCAAACTGGGTTGGCTGATAGGATTGGTTGAACATGCCATATGAGCTGATTCTTTGTACTTTCTGTATCTGCTGTTACTTTCAACCTCCAAGATCCTAGCTTAATCCCAGCTTACCCTGTGACCATCTTCATATGCATGCTGAGCCAACCTGGATTTCTCTAGAAAACCCTGCTTGAGATTGTGCCTGTGTTCACAGATTCACACAGCCAGTGGTCTGCCTGTTTCACCAATGTAGCTTCTGCCACATTCACAGGGAATGCTATAGACGCACTGTGCCATCTGTTGAGGATCCCTTTTTGGTCTCGCTCTCACGAGTGAAGATCGTAAAGTGTGTGTAGCTTTGAAGACGGTCCTAATATTATACTGGTTCCCTATGCACTTCAACTTCTCAGAGATGCACTTGACATGGGATATAAACTGTGCCAAGAGGCTTTTCCTCTTTTTTCTTTTGATGACTACTGCCCTTGGACCTCATAACTGAGTCAATAAAGCCTTGAGAATAACCACTAAGTTGAAGGTCGCCTGTCTGATTGTTAACCTCCAACACCCGGTCTTGGCATATAGTGGTAGCTCTATCATGAAGGCTATGAACAATTCCTCTTTTGACATGCGGGGGGGGGGGTGATTGGAATTGAAATTAAGATATTGGCCAGTGTGGGTGGGTTTCCTGTAAACTTTCGTGGTCAGAGCCGTTCCTTTTTTCATGACCAGAACGTCCAGAAAGGGGATCGTTCCCTCTGATTCTATTTCCATAGTGAACTGGACAGCCAGTGTCAGACTGTTGAGGTGTGTAAGAAAGTTCTGTATCCCCTCTGCACCATGAGGCCAGATCACAAATGTGTCATCCACATATCGGAGCCACAATGACAGTTTGTCCTGTGCCGAGTCGACAGCCAGTTATTCAAAATGTTCCATGTAGATGTTGCTAACAATGGGAGAAAGGGAGCTACCCATTGCCATGCCATCCTTCTGCTGGTAGAATCCATCATCCCTTGAAAGTAGGTGGTCCTCAGGCAGACATCCAGAAGTTCCATGATGGCTTCCACCTTCACGACAGACCATTCTGCCAACGTGTTATCATTATCCAGCCTACTTCTGATGACCTGAAGGGCTTCGTCGACTGGTACGTTGGTGAAGACTGACCACATTGAAACTGGCGAGCATATCCTGTCTACGGAGATTAACAGACATTAACAGTTCTATGAAATGGCCGGAATTCTTCACGAAGATACCAGATCTGCTGGCCAAAGGGCTCAGTATTTCTTGTAGGAAGCCAGCCAAGGCATAGCACGGGGAGCCAATTGAACTCGCTGTGGGTCTCAGTGGAATGTCTGGTTTGTGAATCTTAGGGTGTGGGGGCTTGCTGTGGTATGGTGTCAGCTTTTGCTTTACCTTTGCAGGAAGGGCAGTTTTATATTTGGCAAGGATTTGCTGAACTCTTCTCTCAACCCTGGCTGTCGGATCTTTTGCCAGGGGTTCATAAACTCCAGACTTCAGCAGGGTGTTAATCTTGTCCCTGTATTTTATTTCATTTAGCACTACAGTGCAGTTGCCTTTGTCTGCTGGCAGGATCCTGATACCTTTGTTGAGCCTCAAGGACTTCACAGCTTTCAACTCCTTCTTCCTTATGTTGGAGGTGGGTGACTTGGACTTCTGCAACATAGACCTGACCTTCCATCTGAATTCCATTCCTAAAATCTGTGGGAGTTTTGTAATCACCGATTCAACAGCACATGCCATATCTAAGTTGAAGTGTGGATTTACTATGGAAAAATTCAAGCCCTTCCTAAGGTCTGACTCCTCGTGGTCTGTAAGAGCGTACTCTGAAAGATTGAGAACAAATTTTTTAGAACCACTAGCTGGGTCAGACCCGACCTTGTCACGACAACTCTTGAGCATGGAGAACTTGTGAATATGGATTCCTTTTTGCTTATTAAAGATGTTTCTAAATGAACTTTCCACAGCAGTAAAGACTTGCTGTTGGTCTGAGCTACTAATTGATGACATGAGAAAATTCTCTAGTTGTTGGATCTCCTGAAGTTGTGAAGACTTAATCTTCCAATGAGCATGAATCCTATCTCTAAGGAGAGCCATATTGGCCCGTTGGGTAATCTTGAAAGAACGCCGACCACTATATGGCATCTTAACTGAGAGGCTCTTTGGAATAATGCCTAGGGATTTGCACCTCATAAGAAAGGTTATATGGTTCAGGGTTTTGGCCAAACTGATTTTTAGGTATTCTAATTTCCTAAATGAAGGGTAAATACCGGGTTCATACTAGTTACTCAGATAGACTTGAAAGGATTCTGACGATGGTATATACTGTACTTCTTTTGGCTTATTTTGGACGTCATCCATCATCTGGTATGTACTCGTAAAAGACAAAAGACCACGACGTTTCAGAGACTGGATCTGTCTCTTTAGTCATCAAAAGAAAAAAGAGGAAAAGCTTTTTGGCACGGTTTATATCCTGTATGTCAAGGGCATCTCTGAGAAGTTCAAGCGCATAGGGAACCAGTATAATATCAGGACTGTCTTCAAAGCTACACACACTTTACGATCTTCGCTCGTGAGAACAAGACCAAAAAGGGATCTTCAACAGACAGCACAGAGCGTCTATAGCATTCCCTGTGAATGTGGCAAAAGCTACATTGGTGAAAGCGGTAGACCGCTGGCTGTGCGAATCCGTGAACACAGGCACACTCTCAAGCAGGGTCTTCTAGAGAAATCCAGGTTGGCTCAGCATGCATATGAAGGTCACAGGGTAAGCAGGGATTAAGCTAGGATCTTGGAGGTTGAAAGTAACAGCAGATACAGAAAGTACAAAGAATCAGCTTCAGAAACAATGAATTTGGATTATGTATTATGTTATTGACAGAGATATGATCATGATTACAATCCTTTTTTAGATTTATCAACTTATCCATGTTATCAACAAAAAAGAAAACATTAAATTGATAAGATATATGCTGGGGATTTGTAACTGACATAAAGCCTATTTAAAAAGAAATATTATTATTAGCTTTGTAACAATTTCCTGATTCCTTCTTTATTATTTGCCATAGTACTTTAGTATGGTTCTTTGACCTTAGAATGATTTTGTCATTTTCTCTTTTTCGAGCATCAGATATCACTTTCTTATAAATTCTCTGATATTTCTTTTATGTAATTCAAAGTAGAAACAGAGACATCTTTCTTTTAACTAACGTAATAATTGCAGTCACTGTCTGGAGACTTTTATCCCTTTAGTAATCCAGCCTGATTTTTCCCTTTTTTTATTTGACACAAGTTTTAAAGGGAAGATATGCAAAAAGTACTTAAGAAACTTAGTTAAAAAGGAACTGTAGGCTCTATTTACATCAGATCGAGAATAAACATCATCCCATAGTTCAGTTTTTAACTGATTGTTAAAAATGGCAATACATCTTTTTGAGAAGAGTCTTTTTACAGCATATCCTGAAAAAATGGAAGGGCTATTTACAAGTATGTTCATGACAAACGCAAAATGGTCAGAAAATCCCAATTCCACAACCTTTGAGTGATAGAATATCTTATTCTTGATCATGACATCTATCATAGAACATGAATTAAAAGTGACTCTAGTTGGACATGAAACCGTATTTTGTAAATTGTTAGATAACAGTAAACTTAATACAGCCTTCTGATGTGTATTTTCCTCTAATAGACTGATATTCCAATCACCACACGGCACCAAAAACTGTCCCCTTATTAGTACCTTATTTACAACTTCATCTAACAGTTCAAGGAATGTTTCCTTGTTACTATTTGGGGATCTGTGTATACAAACAACTGTGATTTTGAAATCATGGAATAACACCATAGGATATATGGCCAGTACATGCAGGAAACATAGAAACACAGAAACAATTTCATAAGGGATTTTATATTGGAGTTGTTCTTTATTTTAACGACAAAACCTTCTTAGTGCCTCACAACTGTACATAGCCAGATTTTGTCCAGTTCATCTGGGTCGAGTTCTTTATTTTAACTACAAAACCTTAGTGCCTCACAACCGTACATAGCCAGATTTTGTCCAGTTTATCTGGGTCGATTAGGGTGTACTGTACTTTTTCCATTATACTGTGTATGAGGGGGGACCCAAAAATAACCGGAAACGACCTGTTGCGTGTGCATGCTTTGTAGTTACGAGTTGTGCTGCTAGGTGGTGTTAGCTGGGGGTCTCCCGCGACTGTTAGTGAGCTGGCGTCAGTCTGAGTTAAGTGGTTTGTCTGTGGTGCTCTGTTGTGTGCGTTCCTGTTTCAACCCTTTGGCGATTAGTGAGATGGCCGACCAGAAGGAACAAAGAGTGTGCGTGAAATTGATGAAGATCATCGAAAGACCATTGACCAACTTTCTGAGGAAACGAACATCTCATGGAGCACGGTCCAGCGAATTTTAACCGAAGGTTTGCACATGAGACGGGTGTCTGCAAAATTTGTTCCTCGCTTGCTCGGAGATGACCAAAGAGAAAACCGCGTGAATGTTTGCTGTGACTTGAAGAGTGAAGTGCAGTTTTCCCTAACAGAAAGCAAAATTTCACGCACACTCTTTGTTCCTTCTGGTCGGCCATCTCACTAATCGCCAAAGGGTTGAAACAGGAATGCACACAACAGAGCACCACAGACAAACCACTTAACTCAGACTGACGCCAGCTCACTAACAGTTGCGGGAGACCCCCAGCTAACACCACCTAGCAGCACAACTCATAACTACAAAGCATGCGCGCGCAACAGGCCGTTTCCGGTTATTTTTGGGTCCCCCTTTGTATGTTTAACTTAACATGGCCTTCTGTTATCAGTTTATGTGAATGATAATGTGACCATTAGCACTTTTAGTAGCCTCCAGAAAGGAGGTTCATGGCTCTCTGTAGCTGCAGCTGCCACTTTGGGGCATGCTGACCTGTGACATGAGTTACTGTAATTACCCTAATTTTGCATATATGAATATACTTGCAGTTTCAGAAAACATATTCTAAACATTGCATTTTAAGGAGCTGAATTTTAAATTGTACTATTTCACATTGCAGTTGGTGGCAGTGACATTTGTCAGCACTTTATATGGTGTTGTGTGCACAGTGGCAGAGTTGCAGCTAAGAAGACTACCATTACATTCATGGTGCTACTGTATTGTACCACTACTCATTATGCAAATTATCTGCAGTACTGTATACCAAGTTTTGCCCTTTCAAATTGCTAGACAGTGATCTTAAATGTACATTATTCATGATTTAATCGTGAAAATTCTGGAAGCACCAGCATCTTGCTATTTAAATTTCAGTCTGTCATTTGACTAAAATGGTAGGCATGTCTTGTTCAGAACTGAAATTAAAAATTTACATATGGGGAAGTACGGACAATCAGCCATCTGTATGGAGAGACTGTAGGCACAGGCTTGCTAATGGCATATGTCAGTTTGTTGAAACTTCATTGTGAGATGGGTGGAGCTGTGCTTTATGTTTAGGAGGTTCTTTATTCATATCTCAGTTCAGAGACTGGTGATCCTGATTGATGTTTTTTGTGGTTTTTCTTAGTCCCTCAAAGAAGTTGCCCATGTAATACCTGAAATTAGGTCACAGCCATTCCCACATCCTTTCCAATTCATTATTCTGTAATCAAACAAAAATATGATTCTATATACCCTGAGTTACTGATGGTGTCAGCGGCCTCCGTAGTCTAGGGGTAACGTTCTCACCTTATGACTCAAGGTACGCGGGTTCAAACCCGGCGGAGGTCGTGGAATTTTTAAGGGCGGAAAAATTCAGGGAACAAGTCCTCCAGGACTTTAAGCTGTGTGTCCCGTGTCGTAGATTTACGGCACGTAAAAGATCCTCATGTCTCTAGGAGACCTCTGAGCAAACTTAGGCGAAAGTTACCCGCCCAAGTAGTTTCCAATTCCTCCAGTAGATGGGGAAGTATCGGGGACCACTGCCAGAGACGTGGCCGACCTCTGGCAGAACAGGGCTGATAGCGAGCACCAGTACTGGAAGGGCATGGCGACTGGTAGAATAATTACACGGGGATGCACAATAGATCAACAACTGGTCGCAGTGCACATGGAAACCCACCCCCTCCAAAATACGAATACGAATACTGATGGTGTCATTAAATAAACCACAAATAAATAGGACACACTTTTAACTGAAAATGGAATTTTCTGTCATTAACAAGAATAGTGTTAGAGTAGTGTGTGACATGAAAAACAATGAGGAATTTATACTGTATGATATGTGACCATATTCTTATAAGCAGTATTTTAGCTGGCCCAAAGACACATCACATATTATTACATTATGGTGCTCAAAACATGTGTTGCAGTACTTTGATGCATAATAATGCAGGACATGGTTTTACGATTTAATTACTAATCTTTATTGTCTCTTCATAAATTAATAGCACGTGCTGTTTTATCCATCTGAATGTAAGACAAGGAAGTGACATATGAAGTAGAAATTAAAGCCTTTGCTGTACAGTCAACAGTTTTTGCAACTGTGCTTCACTTCACTGAATTTGCAGGATAAATGTGTTGAGCACTGTATTGAAATTTATCTTTTAATTTTGATAATATAAGAAGGCTAGATGGATAATACCACATTTCAGTGTTGGTTGGTACAGTTTTGAAGCTTTTCAGTCCTTGTGGCCTCCGGGGATTTCCATTTATTTCACTAAGTTCAAGATTCTCTAGCTGAATTTCTTGCATTCTCAGTAGTGTTTCCTGCAGGATTACACCATATTTGCAGTATTTTAAAGAATATGGTTGGGACAAGGGGTATAGGAATTAGATCCAGTATCATGTAGATTTCCAGGATTGGTTTGAACGGTTTATTGCTCACCAAAATATGTTTTTCTCACTGTGCAAGATATTGAGTCAAAGGAGTTACCATTCATTGTAATTATGTCGTAATATATATATATATATATATAATATGGTTGAGGTTGAACCTTTCCTTTTTAGTACATTGTGTTATCTTATATTGTCTCACTGCCAAGCTACATTGCATAATCATGTCAGTTTAAATGGTTGTCACTATCACAAGACCATGTTGGTTTATCATTGTTCATAATTTTTTAAAAATATTTTGATTGCAGAGAATGCATTAGCATGCTGATAGCAAAGTATATTCAGGAGGTATTGCTTTAACTGTGTTTCAGGAGTATAACCATGACTTTTCATAATAGTCCTAGTTTTTTTATAAGATATGTATATTGCAAATTTGACTTATGAGTTAAAAACATGTTATATGAAATCTGATGTTACAGCAGTGGGTGTTAAGATTGCTGTATTTAGGAATGTGATGACATTCCTATGAAGTGCTAGTACTGTACTTCTCTTGCAAAATATACTGTATCACATCCTAGAAGTCTGTGATCTTAAAACTGAGTTGGTACTTTACTACAGTCCAGTAAGCTGTAACCATAAAAATATATTAAATATGTTTTGATTTTCAGAAAGTGTATTCATAATATTAAAAATGTGAGAAAATACTTTCATGGTGTTGTACTTCACATATTAGGATATTAGAAGTTACAATTTTTATTTTTAAAAATTTTTATCTCATTGCTTTCTCTACCAAGGAAGCTATTTTTCTAGACCTAACAACCGTCTGATACTACAGAGTCATATATAATAATTCTTTGCTATCATTGTCCCTGGATATTTGGGGCTCAGCTGAACCATCAGATTTCATTCCCCCCTCCATAAATACAAGTGTATCATAAGGGTACGATCTTATTGTCTGGGGCACTCTTGACATTCATTGTTTGCATCACTTCATTGAAACCCTGTCCAGAATATGGCAGATGTTGTCAAAATTACTCACATTCTAGTTGTAGCCATCAGATATAAAGAAAATATGTATCGTATGGGTACAATGATTCTCTCTCTGATATGCTAGCATCCATCTTACTAGTGTGATTATACTCATTAGAGGGTTTAAACTGTAAGAGAAGTGGTATATAAGGAATAACATTTTAAATTACATTTGTGCTTTGCAAGAATGAATTTGCTTCTGAGATTTCTTATAATTCTAGTGCCCCCCAATTTTTTGGAACAGATGTGTTCAAGTTGAAGATTTTGTGCCAAGAGTTGGGGAAGAGCCATGTCAGTATATTTTTGAGACGGCAATGAAGAGATCTGGTGCAGATTTTAATATGATATATGTGTAACCATTGTACCTCATGCCGGTCAGAAACATTTGCTTCTGCAGCTGTCTCACAGTCTTGGATTCAAATGCTACAAACATTGTGTTCCATATAATTTAAATCACTGATATACTTATATAATATTAGCATTTACTTCAAATATTAATATTAATGTACTTCTTAATTTCCATCTAATTTTCAAGGAAAGGATAATTTACAGAATAGGAACTAATGGAATAACGTGGCAAGATTTTATATTTCTTAGAGTGTCTGTGCACTGTGGGTACATTGATGATCATATGGGGATGTTGAAATTTCTAGTTGTTTGCAGAAATTTATACTAGAGGTTACAGTATAAGATAAACATGCTTAGTTCTCAATTTGTGCATGTAAATTGTGAATAATGTCATCAGTACAGAGGAACCTTCATTTACAGCTTTGCCTATGGATCATGTACACATCTATAGTGTTTATTCTTCACGTTGTAAAATAACAGAGTGTAAGCTGAGGAGGACCTGGTGTTTCAAATGGGGGGAAAGGGTTAATGATGTTTACAGAAACATTCACTTATTCTGAGAACCAGTTGAACCTCACAAATAAGGTATTTGTGGGCAAAATGATGTGCCATTTAATGTTAAAGAAACATAGTTAAAGGATTAATTGGGTATGTTCATGTTCTTCCAGGTATCTGCAAATATCTTGAATCAGAACAACGTTGATTTCATGTCGTGCATTAGCAAGCAAACCATGAGCACATCCACATCCTATGCCAGGTCTGTTGGTAGTGTTACTCTGTAACACAATCTGGCTATGAGAGGAAAAAGGAATGATGAATTGTTCTTCCATGATATAAGTCCCAACTATTGTTTTCTTTGTCTGTGAGGGGTAGGTAGATAAAACTATAATTATTCAGAATGCCATATTTTGACATTCCTGGTGGACCAGATAGACCAGTATATCAAGTTGCAGATAGATCAAAAGAAACATAAGCAACAGCTTTAAGAATGATGTAGCAAAAATTGATCCACTATATTAAAAATGTGACTAATCTTTATTAGTGATGCAATGTACCATTGTATTGGTGGATCTGTATAGCCCAGCTGTCTGAGTGTTTAATTTTCTCAATATTAATTGTACCATTACCCCCTAGTTAAAATCAGCTGCCAGCCCCATAATACTAGGAAATTTAAAATTTGCTATTCCCAAATTATGAAACCACCAGCTTAGTTTGAGCAGAAATGCACAGGTAGAAAAATACGACAAATGCCTTTTTCTTGCAAAAGGGTGCTGTATTCAGATTCAGTGTATATGCATCATTTTCACATGTGCCTTGTTTTTGCAGCTTGCATAAAATATCACATGATGGTGAAGTCATGTCTGTCCATCTGTGTTTGTTTCTGAAACTACAGATAAAATACCACAGAAATTTAATATTGGGTACAACATTGGTCAAGAAAATTTAATTATGGTTCATATAGTTAAATATGAATAATGCCTTACATAAATCTCTAATTAAACATTACTGATTTTCACAGCAGTACATGAATATTAATTGTTGAAAAAATAGTATATGTGATTCAGTAAAGGTGTAATATTCATGGTTTAAATATATCATACATTCAGAAGATACAATACAAAGAACACATTCTGGAAAATATATTTACTCCAAATTTGAATACATCTTTTTAGTCTTTTACATGGTAGTTCTGAAATGAAAATCATGCAGAATTCGCTTGATACTTGTCAACTAGAGGATTATACAAGACATTTGATGGCCTGTAATCTACACATGTAGCGATATTAAAGATGAAGGCAGAATCATTTTCTGCCACTTTGTGTGGTATAACCCTTCAGATGTGTTGGGACTACACTATAGGCTGTTCACTGGTGATACAGGTGTACTGCAAAGTGTGATGGTAATATATTACGTGTACTTCACACCCCAACATGAGTTCAGAAGGTGAAAATAAATATCCAGCACCAGTACATTTAATATGTCAATATTTAATCAGGAATTAATTCTGGGTAGTTACAAGTCTATCCCAACTTATGTTTGAAGGGTTAGAATACTTCTAACATGCATAAACCTGTGCAACAGAAGCGATTTCACTGAACAGCCTTTCATGTCAGATGTGCTGTTCTGGTGTACAATTTGAAATACCACTAGCGTAAGGTGCTTTTCTAGATCATTCTGTGTATGACTCAGTTTTTATTGTTACTGTTACTACTGTTGTGACAAATGGGTTATTTTTATAGATTTTCTTTTATGTCTTTAGAGGAAATGGATATTGTCAATGGGATATGGTTTTATAAATTATGTGAATAAATAAAATTTTCACAAGCACTCTTTTGTTCATTTATTTCCAAGTACAAGGCAGAATACACTGCCATGAAGGTTTATAGAGCATTATGAGATCTGAAGTTTTCACAGCAATGAAGATTAATATTGTCGTCTTCTGGATTGTGGCACTGTGTAGTGTAACAGACTGCACCAATATTTCACATATACTGTCTTCTTCAGGGTAGAAGATGGATATCCACTTACCAGGGTACATGATGTGATCTCACAAGATGACAATATGATTAAATAAATAGTAATCACATTCAAGTTCAGAAGCCCAGTAGCCTGTCCTTCCAAACCAGATGCATGGACAGCAACTTATGGGAGGCAGGAGATATAAAGTTCTATCCCAAACAAGATCAATGGGGAGAGGAGGATGGCAGCTCCCTAATCAAGTGACAAGCTTCCCCATGAAACCTAAGAAACCCAGTGTCTTGCTGTGACTTGTTTTATATGACCCTATTATGGCCCACTTTTCATGGCCTTCATTTTCTCCTTCCTCTGAATTTCCGAACTCCCTCTCTTGTATTTTCTTTCCTTATTCATGTGTGTGTCTTTCCCCATACTCCTTCCAATTACACTTAAAACAGTAATGCTTGATAGCAACAACACTTACTGCATATTTTATTTCTTACTGAAAACCATCACAACACAACAATCAATAATAAGTGTGTAGCTCTAGGAGATACTTTTGCTACATGTTTCGGCCTTCAAAAGGCCATCATCAGGCAAATACATTACATTTTTGTTACTGAATTGCATGTCAAATATAGAATACAGTACTAGACTTCCAAGTATATATATAGTGGTATAAAATATAAATTACAGTAAATGTTGGAAGTCTTAAAATAACCAGTTACATAGTCAAAAGTTTAGTTAAAAGTTGTATATATGATGGTATCTGGAAGTTGGCAGTTGTAATCATTTATACAGACATATTATATACACAGTGGCTGATGTGGTGTTCAGAGGCCTGTTGTTATTATTTAATACAGTGGAACCTCGCTTAACGAGCATAATTCGTTCCAGAATCTTACTCGTAATGGGAAACAATTTTTCCCATATAAATTAATGTAGAATACGATGTGTTCCATTCCGAAAAAATACTCAAAAAATTTTATGTATAACGTTTATTCAAAGAAAATTATATATACATTGTTAAGGAGCATGAATCATCTTCATCTTTTCTTCTATGTGGAATGATTTGCAGAAAAAAAAAATTGAAATAATTAGTTTATCATTTATGATACACATCTAATTCTTTTTTACTAGAATGCTCTCTAGAGACATTTGTTTTTATCGACGCTTCAAAATTTGGTGAAAATGCGGCACAGCATTATCATTAAATAAATTTGTAGCACGCAGAGCCACTGCCTTATTAGGGTGATGCTTCTCGATGTATGATGCAACAGTTTCCCATGCTTTCAGCATTTCTCTTATTGCATCAGAAGATTGTTGCTTTGCTGTTACCTCCCCCTCCTCCTCTGACAAACTCTCCTCCACAACTTCTTGCTGTGGAACACAATGCAACTCCAAATCGTTGATGCAGACCGATTGTATGTGCGTGCTAAATCAGCCACGCTCACACCTCGTTCTAGCTTTTCAGTGATTTTACGTTTCATTTCTACAGTTATTTTTATTCTCTTATGGCTGTCTTTTTGCGGCTTTTTCTTCAGGGTACATTTTTGCAAGGGTTATTAAACTTTGCACAAAAAAAAATCACAAATAATATGTCTGAACACAAGTTTGGAAAAATGTGTGATCACAAGAGACACTAAGATGCTAGCAGAATGAGTGCTAAACACAGACTGATGTACCAAGCGCACAATCCGGGACTTCCCCTCTCATCACTTGTTATGCGAAATGTCGCTCGTTAAGTGAGTCATTTTTTTATGATTTGTTTTGCTCGTTATACGAATTACTCGTTATGAGAGGTGCTCATTAAGCGAGGTTCCACTGTATTTGATACTATTTGACAGGCAACTCTGCTGTGCAAATGTCCGATTTGATGGAGAGATGGATTACATCAGGCCTGATTATGGCCTTTTGAAGGCCGAAACGTGTAGCAAAAGTATCTCCTAGAGCTACTTACAAGTATTATTGATTGTTGTGTTGTGACGGTTATCAGTAAGAAATAATATATGATACATAACAGGATGCATTCACTGAAAATTACTGCATATTGTTCTAAAAAACCATATCCATGTAAATACAGCTGTGTTTCCAGAACTCTTCAAGTTCATAGCATACATATTCAGTGAACAGTGATTCTAAAGTGTTCAAGGCTAAAATGTATGTAAGAGTGGATCACAGTGAAATTAGTGTGACCAAGTATGGGTTCATAACTGAAACAATTTCCCATTTAAATATGAATGGGCTTTATGATTTACCAACTTTATCATCACGATTTTATATTACTAAAAATGTGCTTTTAATGAACACTACATTTCTTTGTTAATATGGGTGATCAGTATAGTGATGAACATGCTTTCTAGCACATCTCTGAGCTGTCACATGCAATATACTAAGATATCTCACAAAGAGGGTTCAACAAGAATGTATGTATTGAGGACTCTTGCCCAGATAAAAAAGGGACGTTATTTAAATGCGACTTTTACTCTGCAGATCACAGTTTTGTCTGTGTTGCCATACCTGATCAATGCACACAAACACATACACTTCACAAAACTGTACTGCAATGTAATGGAAGGTAATGGATGCATGAATCTCTCATATATTAAGATGACAATATTAATTCCTGGCAATGAAAATATCTTATTTTTCTGAACTGAAAAAGATGAAAGTAATGTATTTTAGAAATTACTGCAATTTAACTATGTTCATTCTTCTTAACTTACAGTATACCTAGCACAAAGACTGTTACATTTACAAGCAGCAAAGGAAATACCTAAATGCAATAATAAATGGAAAACCTAGCATAAATGGGGGAGAGAAAGTGTTATATAGATGAAGCAAAGAAATGTCCTTCTATAGTGTTTTTCACTTGAATTCGCACCTGAGTTTAATTTTACTGTTTGCAAGTGACAAATCCCAGCTGATAAGCAGCAGTTTATTCAGAAGCCATAAGACAACCATTTGCAGCTGAACTGCACTGCTGCAATTTCACACCTGTTTCTTGTGTAAAGTTCCATTCTTGTTGTCCAAATTTCAGGATACAGTTGCTGCAGAGTGTTAAATCAAAACATCCTAGGGATATTGCAAGAGAAAACATGCTCTCAAAAAATGTGGCTCTGCTTGTTGCCATGATGGTTTCTAGCTTAGCTTATTCAACCCTGAAGATGGAAGTAACATGTTCCTCTGAAACATCAGTTGACTTTCACCAAGTGACATGCCATTATATCCCAGAAGATGAGACTCTTCTGGATCTACATAGTTTGTCACCGAGAAAAAAAGAACAAGGCATACAAAATTGATTAACATAGTACTGTGAACAACTTTATTTTTGATGTGAGCTGCTATCTGCAGCTGCAGCTGTCAGAGCACAATACAACACACATCTAAATCACATATACTGTAGTGTTTATCAATTCGCAATTGATTTTGTGTATGAATATATTTAACAAAAAAAATCTGCCTTCAATGAAAACCAGCGCTCCACAATGCCGAATTTGGCACCACTCCATAGTCTATGTTTCCTTGTTTCCTCCAAGCCATGATATGTGACCGGTGCACTCCTCAGCCACAAATTCTTGTGAACTACATTACAGTGGACAAAATGTCCTACTTACTCTCTGCATGCCTGGAGCTGGAATTTTTTGTTTCCTCACTTCTTATCCTGAATTCTACGTTTATAGCAGTACTGTCATACGATATGATGCTAACATTCAAAATATATGGTTTTATTACACTTAAATTATCATTTTTCAGCATTCTCTCATATTTTTTGTGCATACAGAAACGTGAAAGTTTTGTTTCTTCTGAAAAAAATCAGTTTTCATACAAGATACTTCTATGTACTGTAGTCACCAGGTAAGCTGAGAGCTCACTCAAGGGGTTGCATGTAAAAATGTGTGGTGGCTACCCAGATGATGTCACACATGCACCAGTCTTGTACTAGTGTCCCTCTGCAAATGGGATACAGTACCTATCATTCATATAACAGCACTAAGTAACAGAACTCTGGGGCAATGTTGTGCATTAGGTATGCCACATGGCACTGACATGCTTTCCACAGTAACAGGCATGGAGCAAGCACCCAGGAAAACTGATGCAGACAGTACATTGCTATGTGATCAGAGATGTTTATGGCAGTGCAAATTAAAAAGAGTGTTCTTCAGGGTTATGACACAGTCCACTTTCATGGGTGGTTACAAACATTTTGCGAGAAACCTGCTACCTCCAATTTTAGGAAAAAAAGAAGCAATGGTTATTTGAAAATCAATTATGAAAATACACTGCATAATAACCCAGAAGACCACAATCTTACACTGCTAAGATTCAAACTTTTCAACATGTCATAACATTAGTTATCGGGCTAATTTTTGATTCGTAGCCATTCTTCAAGATTTAATATTGGACAGATCAATAGAATACACTGGAGTACAAAGCACTACATACAACTAAAAATTTATTCTTATGTTGAAAATACTATCTGTTAATGCAGTCAAATTTTATGAAGTGAGAAAAAATACCATAATACACCAGTGTGTTTTATGACCCATCTCAATGCTACTCCATCTGAAATGATACTCCTTATTCCACGTCATCTTCAGACATCACACCCACTGATGCGGCATTCTGTGCTACAATCCGCTGAAAAAAGAATAAGTGCATTTAAATCACCCTTTAAACAATTTATTACATCGAGATAAATGTATAAAACTGTGACCTTCTGATGAATCAGCCTGGGACACAATGTATGCACATTAACCTGTAACGTCCGAATGACACATATATATGACGCAAGCAGCAACCGGAGTTGGCCGAATGACACAAGACATGTGCACTCTTTGGGAGTGCTGACAGTTTGACCTTGGGTTTGAAACCAAAACAAACCTACGTGAGGTCATGTCAGTGGTTTATTCCTTAGCTCTGAACAAAGAAATCGTTTATCACGGTACTGGTTTCGATACTATTTACGTCTAGATATGACTGTTTATGACCTGGTCAGCCAAATATAGCCCAGCTTTGTTTCAAGAACTGATGAGGAAATATTCTTCTGTGCTTGCATGTGAGTGCTTCCAGAGCCTTCAAGGAAGTGTGATGCATGCAAGGATTGGTTTCCAGTGACGAATTATCAGTTAGGAAGTCAGTGTCGGATTGTCTAATATTTCTTTATCAGTTAAACAGTTAGTGTCAGACTGTCATATATTTCTTTGTATATTATTTTTATTTTGTGTCTCAGAAGAGGTATAAACCCATTGAGCCAGTATTACTTTGTGAGTAAAAGGCATCTTCATCACTGTGACTTTCGGTATCAGTGTCAGCCTGGCACTCTTCTTTTACTAATATTATAATTACTTTGCATCACTATTGTGCGAGTATTAGTAATAGGTGAGTGTGTTGCTTTGTCAATCAACATAATTTATTCGATTTTGTGGGAAACCCCCCTCCCCCNCACCAAAGGTACTAGACTTCACTAGTCCTCCGAGTGGAAGCAACAGATCAGCTGTTCCCAATATAAATGCACAGTCCTCTTGCTTTTCCATTTTCATTCTGTTTTTCCAACAAATATTCCTAATCTTGTTACAAGAAACCAACAGATATTTCCATCAATTTATCGCATGCCAAGATGCTCCAGACCCTTCTGTTCAACCACGTGACGTTACAAGTGAAGAGATATATAACTTTTTGGCAATAATTATTCAAATGGGCCAGGATCAACGGGACACCCTCAAAGATTATTGGTCAAGAGATGAGCAATACTACACGGCATTCTACCGTAGCACCGTGGTACGAGACCATTTCTTCCATATTTTGAGATTCTTACATTTTGAAAATAATGAAGCTCCTCCAAATCGATATGACCCAGAGTATGACAGGCTCTGGAAAATTAGAAAAATGTTTAACAATCTCAACAACAAATTTTGTGAACTTTACAATCCAGCAGAACGTCTTGCTGTTGATGAAGTCATAGTGTTGTTCAAAGGAAGAGTGATTTTTCGTCAGTATATTCCAAAGAAACTCAAAAGATTTGGTAAAAATATTTACAAGCTTTGCGATTTTTTGGGTATACTTATGACATGAGAGATTATTTGGGCAAACGAAGGCAACTTGTGACAGAAGAAATTACATCGACACATGGCATTGTTCTCCAGCTAATTCGAAGAGTGGAAGGCTTGGGACACAAAATTTACATGGACAATTATTTCAGTTCTCCTGCTTTATTTGATGATATTTTAGACAGGAAAATAAATTCATGTGGCACCGTTCGCAATGATAGGTGTGGAATGCCACAAGAAATTCGGCCCAGGTCAATGATATTGAAAAAAGGGGATATTGTTACAAGAGTCAAGAGGCATCTAAGTGTTGTTCGTTGGAAAGACAAGTGTGATGTGTATGTTCTGACGAATTTGCACCCTCCTCCATTGGAAGGCAACTTCCAAGATGAATCCGGCCATGCTGTCAAACCCCATGTAATTGAAGACTACAATGGACATGTGGGCTTTGTTGATAAATCTGACAGGATGGTAAACAGTTATGGCATTGCTAGGAGGACATGGAAGTGGACAAAGAAATTGTTTTTCCACCTTCTAGATATGACTATTCTAAATGCATATCTATTATACAAGTCATGTGGTGGAAAAATGACACAAAAAGTTCCGCGAAATATTGGTGCGGAATTTGATTCTACAGTCACGTGAGGCAAATATCACAGTCAGTGGCGTTTCTCAAGGGAGGCCAAGTTCATTTGGGGCCCAACTGAGTCGACTGGAGGTGAAACATTCACAACACTGGCCAACCAAAGGAAAACAAAGACGTCATATTTGTTCTCAAAATAAGAAGCGCAGAAGCACGCTCTACTACTGCAAAAAGTGTGGCGTTGTGCTATGTGTGGTGGACTGCTTTGAGAAGTGGCACATGCGTGTCACAGTGTGAGTTATCGTAAACTGTGAAGTGACACAGTTCAAACTCGCATACAGTCTGAACAAAATATTATTGTATATAGTGTGATTATATTTACAATATCACCATGATTCAAGGTTGAAGAAAAAACAATGGGTAAGTCCTTTGGAATTTCGTAACATATATAATAAAGATTATATTTTCCATTTCATGACAAAATATTCACAGTTAATTTTCATTTGTAAAACTTGCTCTTTTATGTATATGTAGAAAATTTTATTGTCTTTCAGATTCTTTTTAGTTCATATTTCTATGTTGCATAGAATGGAAAATGTGCATCTTTTTCTGAAAGTCTGCAATGATAATTAATTAGGGTGATTTAAATTCCGGCCATACAGGGCTGCTGGAAATTTAAAAGTCCATATGTTAAAGGTTAATATATGTATTATTAGCTGATCTACACACACTTAAAGAATAAACCATATAATCTAACCTACATGAAAAAAGTACAAACAAAAAACTGTATTTCAGCATCCTGTTGCACATCTTTAATTAAATGTCTATGCATTTAGTCTGTCAATAATGCAACAATCATTCAAATAATCAACATTCAACACCAACACATGTTTCGGCCACACAGAGCCATCCTCAGGTGTTTCGATGTGTCTAAACTGTTACACTGTTTTCATGCGTGCAAAAATTGAGAGCTGCAGTCCACTTAAATCAAAATCTTTCATAAAATCCTATCCACCTCCTAAGGGGCATTGTGCACTTGTTTAAAGCTATGTGATGTGTGTATTTCAGCAGCTACGTCTGTGATCTGCAATCTACAAATTGCCACATATTATTATTGTTTTCTGATTGTTATTATTTATGTTATGTTGATTTGCTTTATACTTACATGCCCCTTTTTTGTGTGTTGTTCCCTCGGGCATCATGTGGTGTTGTCTTCACTGGTGCAGGTGCAGTGTGTTTGTTCCCGTATTTATATGCCCCAGCTGCGAGGAGTGGGGAGAGGTTGGGGAGGGTATAGTGTTATGTTGTGTAATTCTTGTATAATACTTCAAATATAAGATTGTGTATGTCGATATTAGTGTCGTTCATATGTATATTTTCTTTATTTGTTTTGTAAATATATTTCTTGAGTGTATTCAAATATTTTCCTTTCCTCCCCGTTGTTATGATTTCCATTGTATCTGTTATTGTGTCATATGTGTGTCCAGTGTTCAATATGTGACTTGAATTTTAGTGTGCATCAAAACAGTGTAACAATTCAGACGCACTGAAACACTGTCTTTGTCCAAAACATGTCGTGTTGGTGTTGAATGGTGAATGTTGTAATGACAGTTGCATTATTGAAGGACTAAATACATAAACGTTTATAAAGAAACTATATGGAACCTAAGGAAAGTGGCACAACAGCTCATCCTTTCAGTCTATGTCGTATCACTACAACAAGCAATAAGAGATAAGTGTTGATCTTGAAATGAAAGGTATTAATGGAAACTGGTATACAGATCAATAACCACATCTTCATGTTGCACCTTCACAGTTTAACCTTTAACGTACGGACTTTTAAATTGCCAGGAGCACCCTGCGGCTGGCATTTAAATCACCCTGATTAATTCAATTTGCAAACCATCAGAAAAAAATCCATATTTTCCGTTCTATGCAACATAGAAATAAAAACTAAAAACAACCCGAAAGACAATAAATTTTTCTACATGTACACAGAAGAGCAATTTTTACAAATGAAAATTAACTGTGATTATTTTGTCATGAATTGCAAAATATAATCTTTATTATATATGTCATGAGATTCCAAAGGACTTATCTGTTGTTTTTTTTTTCAGCCTTGAATCATGGTGATATTGTAAATATAATCACACTATATACAATAATATTTTGTTCAGACTGTACGCGAGTTTGAACTGCGTCACTTCACAGTTTTATGATAACTCACAGCCTGACGTGCGTGTTCAACGTCTCGAAGCAGCCCAACGCGCATAGCGCAACTCACGTCTCGAAGCAGCCAAACAAACATAGCGCAATGTCACACTTTTTACTGTAGTAAAGCGTGCTTCTACGCTTCTTATTTTGAGAACAAACACTTCTTAGTTTCCCTTTGGTTTGCAAGTGTTGTGAATGTTTCACCTCCAGTCGACTCAGTTGGGCCCCAGGTAACCTTGGCCTCCCCCGAGAAACGCCACTGACCGTGATATTCACCTTGTGATATTCAACTTTGAGACTTGGTGATACTGTAAATATAATCACTCTATATACAATAATATTACTGTAGGCGAGTTTGAACTGTGTCACTTCACAGTTTCAGTTCACAGTCACTTCACTATGATAGTCACACTGACACGCATGGCACTTCTCGAAACAGTCCACTTCACACAGAGCAAAATCACACTTTTTACAATAGAAGAGGGTGCTCCTGCTTTTCTTATTTAGTGAAACACATGACAACATCTTTGTTTCCCTTTGGTTGGCCAGTGTTGTGACTTTTTCAACTCCAGTCAAATCAGTTGGGCCCCCTGATAAATTTGGCCTCTCCCCCAAGAAAAGCCACTGACCGTGATATTCGGCTTGCACAATTGAAGAATCATCTTGGTTGAGGGGGGTTTCTAGCAAATTCGAATAAATTATGTTGATTGACAAAGCTACACTCTCACCTGTTGGTAATATTCGCAAAATAGTGATGCAAAGTAATTATAATACTAGTCGAAAAGAGTGCCAGTCCAACACATACTGAAAGTCGCAGTGGTGAGAATGCCTTTACTCATAAAGTAATACTAGCTCTGTGGGTTTATACCTCTTCCAAGACGCAAAATAAAAATGATATATAAAGAAATATATGACAGTCTGACACTGACTTCTTAACTGACAAAGAAATATTAGATAATCCAACACTGACTTCCTGACTGATAATTTGCCACTGAAAACCGATCCTTGAATGCGTCAGACTTCCTTGAAGGCTCTGGAAGCACTCACATGCAAGCACCGATAACTATTTCCTCATCACTTCTCGAAACAAAGCTGGGCTATATTTGGCTGAGCGGTTCATAAACAGTCATATCTAAACGTAAATAGTATCAAAACCAGTACCGTGATAAACAGTTTCTTTGTTCAGAGCTAAGGGATGAACCACTGACATGACCTCACGTAGGTTTGTTTCGGTTTCCAACCCAAGGTCAAACTGCCAGCACTCCCAAAGAGAGCCAACTCCGGTTACCGCTTGCAACGTGTATACTTGACATTCGGACGTTAAAGGTTAAAACAGTGGAACTGTAAGTATTATGTACCTGACCAACTGAAGGAAGGCGCTGCAGCAAAAGATGGAACACTTGAGGAGGAAGCGTTTGTTGCAGAACTTGCAGAAGTTGATTTGGTTGCCCACAGACTGCTACTGCATTACCAAGATGCTCAACACCACCCTCCAGATCCCCTTGAGCCAGCAGCTCCTCACCCAGTTGTACCTATAAAAATATATAGTACGATGAGTCTTTAAAGGATAGAGAATATTATTTAATTATTCAATTATTTCTACCTATTTACATAGGAACATCATTTTAGTAAATCTGGCTGCAAGTCAATCTGACCTGAATGCCAAATAATATGAAAACCTACAAAATTGCATATCTACAGTTTAATAACTTTATTGAACTTTGAGCATTATTTTTGCCTCATGATGGTGAATTATAGCCAGTACACATAGTGGAATAAGTAGAAGAAGCCGTAATTGAGAAACTCAAGTTTGTGATGGTGTAACCTCAATTAATGCCCAGCAGATATTAATTTATGAGGAATACCAGAAGATAAAGTGTGATAACACTGAACAGAAAATTTTCTTGCATCAAAACAACAGCTTTATGCCCACAGAAATTTTTCTTCAAGACTTGAAGCCAGCTTACTACATGTCAGATCTTCAACAATACTCCATAAAAGAATTTCCATGGTAATAATGTATACTGATTACTCATTAGGCATGTGGGATGTTGTGTTACTGATTTTATGACACATCTCAAGATAAAGTACACATCTTGTACTACTGTTAACAGTAATTTAAGCAAGGGTTTCACTTCCAGTCTGGAAGCAGGACATAATAAGTAAATTCAGAATTCTGCTGGATAGACTTGTTGAAAAGTGACCATTTGCTAGGCACAAACAGGTATGACAGGATACTATTCAATCGTTTAACTCAGACAATAAACTGCACAATGAGGAGCTTCATTACTTGTGCTCTTCTCCAAGTATAATTAGAGTGATCAAGTCAAGGAGGATGAGGTGGGCAGGGTATGTAGCACAAATTGGTGAAAAAAAAAATGCACATAGGATATTGGTGGGAAAGCCAGAAGGAAATAGACCACTGGGAAGACAAGGCATAGGTGGGTGGTCAATATTAAAATGGATATTAGAGAGATATGGTGGGTGGTATTGACTGGATTGATCTGGCTCAGGATAGGGAGCAGTGGAGGGCTTTTGTGAACATGGTAACGAAACTTCGGGTTCCATGAAATGCTATGAATTTTCTTGAGTAACTGCAGATTTGGCTTCTCCTCAAGAAGGGCTAAACTCCATAAGTAAGTAATTCACACAGTACTTGGTGGTGGGTTTTTGATTAGCAGTGCTGAAACTTCGGGTTCTAATAAGAAGGCAAATTTTTGGGGGGAGGGGTCAAGATATGTGGCATGAAGTTGTACATGGCTGTGCCATAGCTCAGGTGGATAGTTGCTGGATTTCCACCATGGCAGCCTGGGTCTGAGCCTGATTCAGATTATGTAGGATATGTGCTGGACAAAGTGGCACTGGGGCAGGTTTCTCAGAGTACTTCGGTTTCCCCTGCCAATCTTCAGTCCACCAATTGCTCCAAAATCACCATCTATCATCTGGGCCTGGTACAATAGGGCTGCAGTATCACATGGGCTGTCTCACCCCACTAATAATAATAAGCTGTACATCAAGCATCTTCAGCCCACCAATGCAGTGTAATAAAATAGAACACACTTACTTCTTGAAGGAAGAATCTCTGAACAGCCTCATGATCTTTTAGATCTGGAAGTTTTGTCCCTGCAGATTTTGTGACAGCTCGTCTAGCTTTCCTTCCTGTCAAAAGAAGATGCAAAAATCACAAAATCTTCGGATACTTTTCCTTTTATGGCCTAGTGTTTAACTAAAGCATAACACAGACGGTAGTTTGTAAAGTCATAATGTAGAAATCACCTTATAGTTCTTGCTCATACAGTCAAAATCAAAACTGTTCTACAGAAATTCTGAACTCCGATAAACCTTTTTTTAATTACGTACGTTGATTATATGACGGTGCAGTTTCTGAAAGAAATTTTAGGTCCTAATACTGGGACATGGGTTTAGGAATGTTATATCTAATACAATTTCACTGCTTTTGTGTTACACAGACCTACCTTAAACTCGTTCGCATAAATTAAGATAAACGAATTAATACTCACTTTCTCTCAATTTCTTCTTAAAATTGGGATCGCTTCTTCGCTTCCTGTCAAAATATATGCAGTATCCAATAAACAGTGTTCCACATATACCCGCAGCAATACCTATGGCTGCTTTTGAAACCATTGTCATATTGAGATGTATATATATTTACGATATTTAATGTTACAATACTTTTATAGCGTGTCCATAACCTCCTCAACACTAGACCAACTCTGAGATTACACAGATGACTAGGTAATCACTGATCACTAAATACAGTGATCTACCAGCAGGAAGATGCCGTGGGCAAGTGATCCGTTGATGTCACGGATTCCTTCGTGTTCCTTACAGTGTGGGTTGTCGTGTAAACTCCTTAACCCCCCCCCCCCTTTCATCTTACATTCGCTTCCCGACCAGCGCGCCGCGCCATCTGGTGGTCACATGTCACGATTGGTCACGACCGGTCACGACTGCCCATTAACGACGCTACTTAATACTGAAGATACTGAAGAACCTGCAGAACACTGAAGAACACTTGTGCATGATGTTGATCATGTAGTTTTAGTTGTTATCGGTTGTGATTGTTTCTTATGATCTGGTCGTTCAAATGTTCAGATTCCTAGATTAGAACGTGTAGATGGAAAATGTAAATAATGTGCGGAAGAACGGCATGGTACGTAAATGTGATATTCAGTAATTTACATAATACATGCGTTATGCTTATGGTGAACCGATATCTTGTCGATTGAAGTTTCCACGGGGTGGGCAATGAAGAACGATGAAGAACGTTGTTTACTGGGTCTATGTAGTCCTGTGGAAGTCAAGCTGCGTTTCGGAAACATGAAGTATGAAGCAGACAGGGAGTAGAAATGAGTTTCTTGTTTATATTACTCCGCGTCCGTGAATATGGATGCAGTATGGTCTGAAATGTCGGCTGTCTTCGTCGTGCAACACGGCGTTGTATTCCAGAAGACAGGACTCGTGAGCTACCATCTGTATATTAATGCATATCATCATCGTCATCATCATCATCTTGATGTGCATAGAGCAAGAAGACGAAAGTCAAACATGAGATGATGAGGTTTTTGGTGATTTTTTCAGTTCGATCATGCAGATGCTAGCATAGCACCCTAAATTATGCCATTGGGTACTGCCTTCTACCTCAGTTTCAATTAATTATTCACTGTCATACAGTCACTCAACAATCACACTTTCTAATAGTGTTGTTAAATAAACTACAAATAAAAAAAATTCTGTGATTTTAGTCCGCTAGAGAACTATACAGACCAAGTGACTGCCGCTTGTCGACGAAGTTAGTGCCAACTTTTGCGGATAGGGGATGTCGCGTGGTCAGCGCAACGAATCCCTACGGTCGTTAATTTCGGTTTTCTAGACTGGAGCAGCTGTTTCCTTGAAATAGCTCCTCAATTATCCTCACGAGGCTGAGTGGACCCCGTTCCAGACTCACTACTTCTCAGAAAAATTCTGGCAGCCCCGGGAATCGAACTCTGGATCTGTAGCCAGGAACGCTGACCACTAGACCACAGAGGTGGTCTAAATAAACTACAAATATGTAAATAAATATATGTTGATGTTTCAAATGTAAATTCCTCTGCAACATTAAGTTAGGTGCAAGATGTTTAGTGTGGAGTGTTTTGCAGCACTTTTCCCAAGACAACAGAATCATGAATAGCTGGACAGAAAGTAGTTTATTGCTTTAACTGACAGTGATGATAATATAGCATAGTCACCCTCCAAAGCATGAAATATTTTGCCATGTGATAGATAACATGTGCAAGTTTTGAGGTTCTCATGTAGGTGACATTCAGATTGACATCATGTGGTCCACAGGCAGATACAAATATTTTGGAGGAACATGCCCCATCTTCAGGTATGAAGTTTGTAAAAGGACCATCTTATTTATGTTTTGTCTCATCATTTCATTTTTCCTCTTGAAAACAATATTGTGGCCCTGGAAATGTCTGTATTTTCTTACACATTCCACTGCACACCTGTGATAGAAAATGAATGTGTACTTTATAAGGCTCATTTTACTACTAATCAGTAACATGACCACCCTTGTAAGTTGCCTTTATAACCTTGCAAATTCCTGAGTTTACATGCTTGAACCCTGAAGATGGAGGCAGCACATTCCTCCAAAACAATGGTATCCATCCACGAGAGTACAATCTGAATAATTACAGAGAGTTATAAAATACCGTTCTGTGGACAAGGAAATATACATTATTTATTTATTTACTTCATATCCATGGACATAGGATACATGATATAGGACAAGTCAAATACTTTACAGTTATAAATAAGAATGATAATGATAAAATAATAATATAATAAATAATATAATGATATAATACTATACTAAGATAATACAATGATGATTCTAATAACAGAACTAATATAATCATTTAACACATGACACCGCTACGCCTTAAGACCTGATCCTTCTATCCCGGCACAAAATACCCTTGTATCCTTGATCTTGTTCCTGTAAGAAAAAAATACAGAGTAGGGCAGTAGGCATTCCTATAACATTACCAATATTAAAATCTACAAGTTGATTATTCTTGAAATATATTGTGATGTGTTGCGCTATGGAGGACGCCCCGCCAGCGGTGATGTGCTGAGCGGAGCCGAAGTGAGCCGAGTCCAAACAGCGGTTGCTAGAGGTGACGGTAATAAACAGCAGTGCCCATTACATACCAAGTAAACACTGCGACTATATAAGAGAACTGCACTGCCTACGAAGACAGTTGGAATCTAGCCAGTTAGAGTTACGAGTTAGCCAGCAGTGAGTCAGTTAGTTACAAGTTAGCCAGGAAGTCAACCAGTCAGTTGTAGTCTAACATTCGCAGGCCAAGTAATTGTAATATTGCAGATAGCAGTAATTGTGAAATTGTGAATTGTGTGATTGTACGAGCGAGTGTGAAATAAAATTCGCTATATCCAATATGGCGTGAAGTTATTAGTTGCGTTGTACACCCAACACGTGACAATATGTTTACAAGTGATTAAACCTAGGATTTGCCCCCAAACAAGAGAAACTCGTCTATATTATGGAAACAATGATCAAGTAGGAATGTCTTCAAAGTCTTTTTAAACTTGTAAAGTACTGGTATCTCTTTAATATATTGTGGCAACTGATTTAACATGCGAAGTCCAATATTATTGAAATTGTTTTTGAATAGACTCATATTACATGGCACCATGAACAAGTCCTCTCTTCTTGTATTGTGTGAGTGTATTTCTGAATTGGTTATGAAAACATTCAGATTGGTTTTTACGTAAGCTAGAATTTCATATATATATGAGGGGGTACCCAAAAGAAACCAAACTTATTTATTCAAATTTTAAGCACAAACCTTCAATCCCCTTCAAAGTACTCTCCACTTACACTAATACACTTGTCTAGTCTTTTATTCCATTTTTCAAAACATTGTCTAAATTCATCTTTTGAGATGCTTGACAGCGCCTCCGTTGTGTTTTTCTTCACCTCAGCAACATCAGCAAAGCGGTTTCCTTTCATGTCTCTTTTCATTCGAGGAAACAAAAAAAAGTTTTGATCATTTCGGGACTCTTCTTTCAAAGCACAGCATGCTTCCACG